GTAGTAGTAGTGGTAGTGGTAGTAGTAGTAGTGGTGGTGGTGGTGGTGGTAGCAGTAGTTGTAGTACTAGTAGCAGCAGGAGCAGGAGCAGGAGCAGGAGCAGGAGCAGGAGCAGCAGCAGCAGCAGTAGCGGTAGCAGTAGCAGTAACAGTAGAGTAGCCAGCAGCAGTAGGCGTCGTCGCCAGAGTAGTTGTGGCAGTAGCAAGCAGTAGCAGCAGCAGCAGTGGCAATAGCAGTCAGCAGTAGTAGTCGTCGTCTTTATAGGTTCACAGTTGCAGCCGTAACAGTAGCAGTAGAAATAGAAATAGCAGAGAATTAGCAGTAGTTGTTGTAGCAGCAACTGGCAGTGCGAGGGTGTCAGTCTTGTGAATGACCTGTTCTGGAACTTTCTGTTCCTGCTACTAGAGCTGATGTTTCTTAGTCTTGTATTTTGAGCTGTCTTTCCCAGCTCCAGCTGTGGAGTCTCAGGCTGGTGCCGGCGCTCAAGTCGGTGAGAGCCCGGACCTCCACAGAACCCGACGCCTCGGAGCGGAGCACAGGTCAGGTTGACGGGCCATCCGAGCCTCTGTGACAGTTTGCGACTAGCGGATTAGCGTCATGTTGCGTCAGTTCATTCGGGACAGCGTTTGGGGTGCGTCGTGACACTGTACCACACTGACAGGCCTGGAGCCCGTAACACTGAGCCCGATTGGAAAAGCGGCAGAGAGACCTCGTCCCAGTCGCTGGATGCAGTGGGTGTGGCAGAGTGGTTTAAGAAGTCCACGCCTTCCAATTCAACAGGCATTGTACTGAGATGCTTTATGGACTCACAGCTTCTGCGCTTAGTCAGAAGCTGCGGCTGATTGCAATCAGAATCAACATCCTTTGCGAGAGAGCTAGACTGTCTGCAGGACGACACAATACAGGTGCCTCCCACCTGGAACCAACGCAGAGCCGTGTGGCCCACCAAACCGCCGCGTCAGCAGGCAAAGCCAGGACAGTAGGAAGAGGCCTCCGCGATTCCAGGACAAGATCCCATCAACAAATGCGGCACGGCAAAAACAACTTAATGGCAGTAGAAGAACTGGACACATTGTCTTTCCTGCCGTGCGGTACAGTGCATGCGACGGTCAAAACGCGATAGCGGAGGATCTACCGTAAGCATGCTTCCTCTGTCTGCGGCTCCTGTCCCTGTGCGAGCCGAAGGGATACTGCCACCCATGCCATGTCGCCAAAACAGTTAAGCTCTTCAGCCCTGCATGGTTTCCTGATTGTCCTGTTTCAGCTGTTTGTAAGACAACCCTGCTGATGTTCTTCACTTGTCGATCGGAAGCTTCCCGGAATTGGCCCACTGTCTAACCTCATCCAGAATCCAACGGAGGGTCATTCTGGATTGCAGGTCTCAGTCGCGGCACACTGGTCACTGAAAGTCAAAATGCCTTCGTCCAGGTGTCGAAGATGTTCCGAACTCAAAGTGTCACAAATGCAGCTGTAGACTGTCCTGCGCTGCCAGTTGCACATCACGGAAGAAACTGTTGGACGAATCGAACCGTCGAGCGCTGTCTGAAAGTCCTCACGTACTGCGCCTGTGCTGCAAGAAGCTCCTCAATCGCTGTCACGACTTTCACCCGCGTGCCGCGCGTCCCGCGCGTCCCACACGACCACGACGATGACAAGGCTCTGGCTCGGCCGAGGAGTGGTCACGTTTCACGCAGCCCTGCCACGCCGAGGTGTACGGGTGCTTTTCGAAGTCCTGTCGCGCCGCGACGAGTCACAAGCGAAAAGACCCCAACGCAGGCGCAGCTCCGAATCTGCTCCTGGCCGAATCCCAGCAGTACCGCGGCCAAGGCCCGCCAGAGAGCCGGCCATTGCTCACCTGCCTTGAGCAAAATCGACGAGCTACGCAGGCAAAGGGAAGGCGGCGAAGTCTAAACGGCGGCACTGCGCCTGGGCATCTCTCGCTCGCCCGGCTTCTCCTGTCGCGGGTCTCACCGTCAGGCTTTTGACAGTTTTACCGAACCAAAGAACAGCTCGTTTCGCGAAGGAGCTGGGCCCAAAGATATGTGGTGGTTCGCCGCATGAAGGGCTGCTGGAACTGCAGCTTTCAGACCTGGGATCTTGCCTCCAAGCAGGATTGAGGTTGCACAGAGGTGAAAGGGAACTGAATTGGGCGGGAAGAAACGTCTCGGGGCAAGGTGGAAAGGGAGCAAAGGAAGACGAAGACTCGAACAACAGAAAAACGGATTGGATTGGAACTAACCCTTCTCCACCCGGTGTTCCAGATTCCGATGACATCCTGCCTGAACGCTGCGAGGAGAGCAGCAAGGCCATGCCTTGGCGTTCGGAAAGCGAGAGGCATCTCAAGCTTGAAGAAGCGCTACATGAGGTAACCATTCTTTGATGCTGCCCAGCTACAAAGCGCATCAGCTGCCTCGCCTCGCCTTGCACCACAAAAAGGGCCTAGCCCCTAAAAACAGGTTCAGCTTTCAGGCTTGGCCCGCGGATGTCTTCGGTATTGCAGCAGGGCGACTTCTCTGGGTCCGCACTTGGCAGCGCCTTAGGGAATCGTGCGAGTGCTCTGCCGGATGAAGCTTCGGAAAACTCTGGATCATGGCCATGGCCCCCCTCCCACCTCACAGCCAGCATAAATGGCAGGAGCTGCAGCCTGACACTGCGGCCTGCGAGCGGGGCCCCGATCGCTGCACTGTGGCTGCTACAGTCTAAATCACAGCTCAAGCGTGTCCGCGCCTGGAGAAGTGAAGTTGGGAGGGCACTTGGCAGAGCAGCGTCCCAGCAGGAACCGCACGTGCCAGCCTCACCCCTGGCACCTTGAGACGGATCTCGAAAACACCAGACAGTAAACCGAAAGCTGGCTCTCGAGGCCCCTCCGCCAGGCCCAGCGCTGACAGTGCTGGAGGCTCTGCGAAGCACAGGGCCTCGCCAGGTCCAAAGGGCCCAAAGTGGCTCCGCGACAAGGGAATCCTAATAGGAACGCAGGCCTCGTGCCACGTGCCGCCTGCTTCCCGCAGCGCCGCCGCCACCGAGGACCGTGGGGCGCCACTGAAGCGCGGCAGCCTGCGGGCGCTTCCCTTGTGACGACCACATCGCGCCACTCTTCCGTAGCTCCGGATCTCTCTATGACTCGGCAACGGTAGGGTCTTGGGCGCCCCGTCCTTGGGGCCACACGCCGCCGCTTGGCATCGACATCTCCTCGGCTCCACACAACATGAGGTGCGTGACGCTCGTGATGCTGCGAAGTTGTCACGAAGCCGAATGCAGCTGCACTCTGCAGCACGGGATATCTCAGGATCCTGCCGTCTGTCATGTCAGAGACTCCGCACGTGCTTCCATCAGAACGGCGGATGCTCTGTGAAGGAAGTGCTGGTGGCTTCAACCGCTCGAGGCGAGCTTTTCTGAGCCTCTCGCGCTCTGTTTTGGGGCATCTATGGGAAGCGGGGTCTAGGGTTCGAGGGCCATTCGGCTTTTGCAAAGGGATTCCGTAGAGTCAACTACTGAATGCGCTGTTGGAGTGCCCCAGGAATACACGGAGTGACCCTTGAACTCTTCAAACGGTGGCATCCGTGGCGTGTCCGGTGGCATGATCGATCTGGCTGCGGGGATGCCTCAAGCATCATGCATCTCTGGTGGCCACGGAGCACTGCAATCATGCAATGGAAAGCGGCACTTCCCACAGAGTCCCGACAACAAGAAAGGCCTCTCAAAGATGGACGAACCCAAAGGCAGCGTGAAGCTTCTCGCGTTTTGAATCTTCTGGCCGTGTTCGCATCATGGCACAGAGCGGTGGAGCGAAAGAGACAAGCCATGCTGCAACGCCGGGCGAATGTGCTTAATGGCTGAGTGGTAACGACACGATTTCTGTGCAGTTGTGACAGTACCAAGCCTTACCGAAGCTACCCAGACATGCCCAGGGTCCACTGTCGAATTATCTTGCAAGCTGAGCTGTTGAGACGTTGAACAGCCACAGCTAGAGCATCGAATGAGAAGATTGTCGTCCCATTCCTAAATGTGAACAGGGGGATGTCAGCAATTCCAGCAGCCCGCGAAGATCCACTAAATGTCCAAGCAGAAAGAATCTGCTCGAATTCGATTTGGGTACGTTAACTCAGCAGCCGGAGTCAGTCTGCTTCGACTGTAGCCCCTTTGCTGTCGCACTGCTGCCGCTCGGCATACCTTGACGGAGCTTCAGGCTTGGTGCTTCGGTGTGGGAACTGACCTTCGGCCCGACCATGCAAAATCACCCCCATGTGCCCCAATTCGAACATCACATCTGGGATTCCAAAAGCACCAACCCAACCCTTGTTCAGATTCGTCCGAGGAGCAGTGTCACTAACTTGAGCTGGCTAGGAGAAAGCTCCTGCTCGAGCTTACGGCAAACCCGCGGCAAGGCTGACTTTACTCAAAAGATCGCAAAAGCTCAAAGTGGGTCGGAGTCTCCTGGCGGAAGTAGCTCATAACATCCTGTCAGTGTGCCAGCGATCAAAGCTAGCAATGTTGTAGAATCTGAAGCAAGCGCTCCGTCCTCTCCCACGATCAAATATAGGTCCACCAGGCTGAAGATGGCCGCCTTACCTCGTCCCGGTGCTCACAAGATGCAGAAAATCCCCACAGCCGTGACTTCGCTTTGCCGGGCGGCGCGTCTCCGCGGAGTCGGTCTCCGCCGCAGCCACGATGGGCGCGACGATGACGTTCAGGTGCTCGAGAATCTGCCTGAGCCGCAGGGGATTGACAGAGGGTGTTGGGGATGCCCTTAAGGGCGGGGTTCAGGTTCAAGGCGAGTTTGCAGGAGGTAGCTGTGAGCCCGAAGGCTCCTCAATACCCTCTCTGATGACGAATTGTCTTGGAATCCCCTCAGTCTGAGACTCCCCACACTAGAGTCACTAGAGATCTTCTCCGAGTGCAGCCGTGGCGCTCCGGTCGGAGCCTTCGCAGCGCCGCACAAAGCAGATCGAAGTTCTGCGAGACCTCCGAGCCAGGACTTGGAGGGCTTCCAAGCTTGCGATAGTTTGCGGTGACAAGCTATGGTGGATCCTAGGGTTATGAAGGGTCTTGGTTTCTTAGGGTTGAGGCTTGAGGGGATCGCCCTTGGATCACGGCGTTCTTTCTCCAGGACTTGGAGCAGTCTCTTGAAAGCAGCCTGTTCTTCCTTATTTGAGCCTTATCCCACCTCGACATAATTTCTCTTCGTGTTGCTGGAGCCTGCAACTTCACCCTCCGCCCTCGACCTCGCAACCCTTCGAAAGCGTCGACCCCAAAACTTTAAGCATCTGCTGTCTACGAAGAAACGGTTATATAGCCTACGTTGGGATGTTATGCATGCATGATTGTATGCACGTATGCACACACTACTATCACTACTATGTTTGACGATCGTTAGTTCGGAAGATGGATTGGTAGAGGATAGTTCAGTCTTGTAGCGAATATGCACAAGATCGGTCTTCTCACCTTGAGCGAAACCGGCTGGCTGCATGCCGCATAAAAGCTTTTGCAGCTTGTGGTTCGGGGCCGTTCAGTGTTCAGGGGGGTCCACATGCGAGTCTAAGGTTTTAAAGCTGTTCCGGCCTTGCGCAAGGTGGCAGTAATGGAGGCATGGTGTCTTCCCGCCTGCGGTAGCAGGATCTCCAAAGCTCTCAGCGGCTCGATGGAGGCCAAGAGATGGTCTAGAGCTCCTTTGTCGGCAGGAGGCTCAGGAGGTGCACTAGAAGGAGCCGCGGGCTGTCTTGATGGTTCACGCTGGCGATTCGATCAGTCTAACGAGTCTAACTACCAAGATTACCGATACTGCCGCCATTATCATTACCAGCTGCAGCATCGGCAGCGCCATCACATTGCATTAGCCTCGTTGTTTGATCCTGATGCTGCCGACCCCAGCAGCATCATCGCTGCCGTCATTCCTCCCGATAATGTTGACCCTGATAACGGTTACGAGGGGTCCCATCGTGGTTGCTTGTAGCAATCTGCTATTCCTATTTGAGCAAGTCAGGGCAGCGGTATCTCATCAGCAGTAGTATTGCGTTAGCATCAGCTGGCACTTGGATTTTAGTTGACTTGCTCAGAAAGAGTGCTCATACGTGCTCATCCTATGTAGAGCATGATTCCTTTCAGTTACTTAAGGATACATGCTTTTTGAGAACTTGCCTAGAGCACACATCCCGAAGCTGCTACAAAGGACCACATCTCACAGCCTACAGAGGCAGAGCAAAAGGCCCTGGACTGCGCGAGGACGAGACAGAAGAGGTGCGGCCGCGGGACGCGCCAGGCCCACGGTCAGCCTGCGATCCGGGCCGGCGCGCCCGGAGACCTCAAAGAACTTGGAGGCCACGACCTGAGACGTCACAGCGTTGAAGCTCTAAAGTCTCTTGGCTCTTGTGGCCCTGCTATGCTGACTCATGGCAAACTGGGTTTCGGCGAAATTACATTGACTCGAGAAATTCAGGTAAGAGGTCATCGCGCGACGCCTCCGCATAGTCTGCCACGCAAGCCGGATGGTGAAGAATCATCTCCTCTGTTCTGGCTTAATGTCATCGGAATACCATCTCTTAGATGTCCGACAATCACTTGTTAACCACACGTCGGAATGTCTCCCACGCTACTCCACCCCCTCAAGCGCTGAATGCACACTGCAGCAAACGTCCTGTATGCAGAAGACCGAGGCATCCTGGACCTGCAAGGGCAAAGAGCGTTTCTTCGGGGTCTTCGGGGCTTTGTCTGGGGCCTGGAGGGCCGACAAAACAGTGCCGCAGGGGGGTTTCCCCGAGCCCTCGGGGCCTCGCAGACCGAACCGCTGGATGTGAGGGCATTGAGCGCCAAGATGAGAACCCGGCCGCCTGCATGTGGGTGAGGATCTCGGAGTTCAGGGCGCTCAGGGTGCTCAGCAAGATGCCAGCTCAATCTTTTGTCCAAACAGCACCGTCCATATTCCCGACAGAGAAGGGAAATGAATGGCAGGCTTGTGTACAAGGCTTGAGCTTGCACAGAGCACGCTGCCTGCAAACAGAGCACTGCAATGACACCCTGGTTTGTTCAAGGCGCTCAGCGACCTTGACAAGACATCCTGCACTGCCTGCTGCACACGACGGGGAACACAGAAACATGCAAAGACTGCTACGACAGCAGTGCGTGGTCTCTACACTATTCTACTGCATGACGTCTTTTCCCGTGTCGCCATCTCATTGCAGGATTTTAGGCTTGCATGGAATGGCACACTATCTGCAAAATGGTGCAAAGCACCTTGCCGGGCATACTTACGATCCTAGATTCTATACTTCAAGATTATCACCTCCTTGTGACTCTCCGAATTGAACTGGAGTTCAACGTCTCCTGGTCTCACCACCCTCGCCACCAGGTCCTTGGACATGGGACTCCCCACCACGGCCTGCCATTCCCGGTCGTCTCTGCTCAGCTTACCCAGATCCGAGAGGTGAAGCCCCACTCCACCGCACTTCAGCGCCCGCGCGTGGCGCCGCACGAGGCCCCGAAGCGCCGAGTTCAGGCGCCTCTCTTCCGGAGTCAAGGGCGGGCTCGCCACCGTCCGACTCAACTCCCGCGCTTGACGAAGCCACTCCGACTCCTTCTCTGTGCTGGAACAGCAGGATCACACTGTTAAACCACAGACAAAGTGCACAACTCACTCCGGCCCCAGCGTCCTCCTGCTGTACCTTGATGGATCGATCGGCTCGGCGAGGTGACATTGTTCTCGCACGAAGCGAAGCCGGCTGGCGGTCAATGTCGACGTGGATGAAGCCGTGCTTGACGCTGACCAGAAATGGGGAATGCCTGGCAGACAGCGAAGCTCACCGTCACCGCGCCCTAGCTTCCGTCTGAGCTTCCGTCTGAGCTTCCGGCTCCGGCTCAGAGGTCATGCTGGGAGCTGAGGCGACGCGGATTTCTGAAATGAAATGGCTGCGTGTATGTCCACGACATGAAATTTACTGTCAAAGACACGTACAAAGCACATCACGGCACTAATTCTCTTCAGTCATCATCATACCACCCAAATCATCGGCAGCAGCAGCAGAAGGAGCAACATGCTACGGCTGCTACGGTAAGCAGTGGACTTCAGATTCCCTCTTCAGATTCCCTCCTGCTTTTGCTTGCTTTTGCTTCACCCTGCCTTGGCTTCTCCACGTCTCCTCGTCTTCTGCCTCGGCTGCAGGGCGGCACAACTTGCAAACAGGACTTGAGCCGAGTGGAGCACCTTCGCAGCAGCGGCCAGGGCCCGCAGGGTCGTCGCCTTTTCTCCGAGGCTTCAAAGAACCCCGAAAGGGGCCGAAAGTCACCTCCAGTGCGGCCGCACGTGGCCCGCCTCGGTGCAAGGGCGCGAGGCCAGCAGCGCCGTCAGCGAAGGAAGTGCCTGCAGGGCATCCCCTCAGAGGCGCAGGGCCCAGGGAGGCCCAGGGCTTCATCTGCAAAGACAGTACCTGAGAATCTTGAGAAGAGCCTTGCAGGTCCCCCCTCCCCTCTCGTGCATCTGTGCATGACGAAACGTTCAACCCACCCAAACCCTCCACCCCGTGTCGTGCCTCCTTCTCCGACGACTGTGGCTGCACACGTCCTGGCAGAGGTCGCTGCATAAAAAATCACTCATGGCTCATGACAGTGTCCCAGAAATGATCTCACGCACCAAATCTGTGCTCTAAGGATTTGCGAAGGTGTTTGCAGATGACTGTTTCCATCGGAACAAAGGTGCCGACTTTTGGTGTCTTGGTTTTACAGATAGCGTGTCTTGCAAGCTGAGATTCCCGAAGAATCACAGAGTCGCCTTTTTTGCTGAACCTTCGCCGAGGCCAAGACCATGTCGTGACGGAACGAGCACGATTCTTCAGGGTGACGGTGTAGCTTAAACTAAACCCCGAACCCCATCACAGCCGCTTTGCTTCTCGGCCTCGGCGCAAAGGCAGCCCCGCGGCGTTCGGCTTTGGTGACGGTGCCGGCGGTGGGGGCCTCAAAGCCGCCATGGTATGGCATCAAACCTGGATGCCAGTACCGGGAATTAGCATCACCCCGAATCATGTCCACCCATCCCACCCTCGTTCTGTACCAAGTCGCGGCTCCTCGCAAACGAACCACCTCCCGGATCCGAAAAAGGCAAGGATCTTTGTGGTATCTGGGAGGAAGCAAGCGAGACGCAAGAGGAATCCAGTGCCCTGCCTGCAGAGAACCCTTTTTGCAGCTCTGTGTGCCACGGCACATCGTGCCAGTGCAGCCATGAGGGGAGCAGCCACGCACTTGTCGGCGATGGCGTCTCGGACCAGCCTCGAGCTGCACACTCCGCTAGAAGCCGCTGGACATCGTGAGCTATGGTCACAGGGGCCCTTATGCAGCTAGGTGCAGCCAAGGCCACTCCGACCCAGTGAGAAGTCTATCGAGCAGCTCGACCGCAGGCAATTGCGCGGCAGGCCCGTTCGCCGCCTCGCACACGTCAAAAAACTTGTGGATCCAGGCTATGACAGGACGTGGCAGGCGAATCGATCAACTCCCGAAATACACACAAAGAAATGCACGGCTCTGTTGACTCCTGCCACATGCTTCGAGTACCGCGGAACGACCTCAAGGAGTGCCATGTGCAGGGCCCGCAGCGCATGAGAGGCCTTGGGCCGCGCCTGTGGCCTCGGGCCATGGGATCCGGGCTCGAGCAAGACAGGAGCACCAGTGTATTGACACGCTCTCCGGCCTCGACCCTCGGGTCAGGGCAGGGCGAGAGTGTTTGGGGCCACGGAACTTTGGAGTCGGGTTTGGGTTCACAGAGCTCTTGAGAAGTGATGTTGCATCCAGACGCAGTCTTCGCTCTCATCCAAAAACCACAGCAGCAATATGCGGCAAATTCCTGCTGTGGAAGAAGCTTCTCCGGCTGCAGCGCTTCCACGAGGGCCTTGACTGGCTTCCGCTTTCGATTCTCATTGTGGCACATTGGGACGACCAAGTAAGGCTATCACGTCGGCGCTGCCGCTGCCCTTCAAGCAGGCATCGACCAGCTGCTCCATGGAGGGCGGCCATTCGGCCTGGTGAACATTTCTCGAACACTCTGCGGGCTCTCCTGCAGAACCTCAAAATCGTGAAAAAGGGGGCAGCCTTCGGCTCCGCTGCAGGCTCGGCTTTGGCGTGCCGCGGAGACGGAGAGGACGGCCAAGCCTCCTCTTCGGAAAGGCGACGACAGAGAGAGAGAGAGAGAGAGAGAGAGAGAGAGAGAGAGCGAGCGAGAGCTACTGTAGAGAGCTCTCGCGGTCGTCGCGGTCGTCGCGGCGTCGTCGCTCCTCCGGGCCGCGAGGCTCGGCTTCGGGCTCGGAGGGCAGTCGCTGCGGCGCTCGCTGCGCTGACGGCTGGGTCTCGCTCTCTCCTGAACGGCCGGGACCCGCTCAATTTCGCCACGGGAAAATGCGTCGAGTGCCGTCCTCCCTCGAGTTTTCCTGCGGAGCTTCTCTGCGGTCTCTGCTTGCTCAGATCCGGCTGCCGGTCCTTGCAGGACACATTGCCACTTTGGAATCCCGATGACATCGTCGCAAAGATTCCCCGTTCGTGCTGGGACAGCGAGACTTTCCAAAACGTGGCAAGCAACGTGTAAGGCTTCCCCTGCAATGAAGATAGGAACCGTCTGCTCCCACAGTTCCAGTCGCTTTAGGTCCTTGGCCATGAGCTTCTGGGAGGCGGATCGAAGCAGCCTCCACGATTCAAAGCGACAAGACGCAGGCACTGCTGGCAGAAGTCGCGAAGTCTTGCAGCTACCTGAACCCTAGATCCCTAGGACTGACGCACTGGCGCAAGATGCCGCAAGTGCTAAAGGATCCCGCTGGTGCCTCTTCTCTTGCGACGTCGAAGCTGTCACATCAGCCCTTGGCTTTGAATCTCGTTAGTTTTCCCGAGAGTCTCAAGTCTGAAGACTCCGGTCAGCTCTTGACACAATGGGGCCGACAGCGCTGCACGGAAGTAAAGGAGACTCGTGCGAGGCTGCTAGGCGGGGCCATGGGTACTTCTCTGATTCCGCTTCGATCTCAACTGTCACGGAAAGCTCCACCTACAGTGCTAACCGGCGCTACAGGGTTCTGCCGTGATGCAGCGGTCGCCGTTGGGCCTGCAGATGGCCGCTCCATGACGTGGCTGAAGAAAACTGGCTTTACCATGGGATTTACAAACATGAGGCCCCGCTCTTTGCAGTCTCTGCCTCCTTGTCCTCGGCGCGCTTCTGCGAGGCCGACCTTTCCAACTGACAAGATTCCAGCGGAGCACTCTGTGGAGGGACGTAGTTGCTGAGTTCATAAGTCCCAAAAAGACTTCTATAAGGGATCATACTATCCCAAAAAGTGTAAAGTGTACTCACTGAGCTACTAAGGGGAGCCTTGAGGTCACTGAGCCCTTGAGCCCAAGGCCTGGCCCGCACGGAAGTCGCGGCTTTCGGCCCACCAGGGCTTCGCCGAAGCCCTGAAGTCGCGACACGCCGTGGCTGAAACGTTTACTTGAGCAGGGCTTGCCTTTAAGGAGTTTACAGGCGCCAGCCACTGATCGTTCTGGCAAGCAATTCCTGGTCTCGACGTTCGGGGCAATGAGGCTCCGAAAATAGTTCTGGGACGAGCTGAACGGCATGGTGCGGATGTGGATGTGCTGCGCAAAGTCATGTGCACTGATCCTTTGTTTAGCTGCGAATTCTGCGCATGTGCCCGGACTCACAGTTCTCGCCTTCGCCTGTCGGGGCCTCTGCCTTGAGCTGGCGCTGCCTCAAGAAACAAGAATGTTCACGAACATGTCCATTGCTTTGCCACACTGCACTAACGGTACAGTGACACACAATGGCCTTGCTGGATCCAGAAGGGCCAGGAATCGCAGGCCCCGCTCCTGGCAAATGCACGAAGGCTCCCAGACGCGGGCATCGGCATCATCGACTGGCAATTCCTCGAACTTCTGCGTGAAGGCCCAGAAGCACTGTCGGGCCGAGCCACGGACCTCCAAAACCCGCGCTCCGCAGAGGCAGATAAAGCAACTGATTGTTGGCCTATCTTTCAACTTTAAGAAAGTCGAAGCAGCATTTTTGGGATTCGGAGTCGAAGCATCCAAGCTCCCTCTGGGCGCTGTGGGCTTTTCATGGCTTGTCTAGTTGTACTCAGTACAAGACAGCCCGGCCTCTTCACGAGCATCTTCAAGGCCATCACGGATGGCCTGCTAAAGTAGTTACCGGTATGCACTGACCACCCCTGCGAAAACGACTCCGGGCCACGGCCATGGCCGCGACTGCGTCTGCGGCTGCGACCACTGCGACGACGACGACGATGCCGACGACTACTACTGACTATACTACTCCTGCTGCTGCTGCTGCTGCTACTACTACTACCACCACCACCACCACCACAACAACAACAACTACTACTACGACTACTACGACGACGACGACGACTACTCCGCGCCACTACCACCACCGTCTCTGTCAGCGTCATGCTTGCCTGTAGGTTTGGTTGTGTAAGGTTGGCGCACACATGTAATGGTAAGACTCACAGCTAGCTCTTATTTTTTGGCCACAGCCGGTTCGAAGGCAAACCGACGTGCTTCGGCTACTTGTGGATTCAAGTGTCCTAGTGTGTAGAATAGAAAGAACAGAACAAAATGAATAGAATGCAATAAAATAGTTTCGAACAGAGCAGACTAGTGTGGAGTATAGCAGCTCGAGATAGAATATGCGGCTTCAAGCGACCTTCTGCAGCGGTTCGGCCAGACGCTCAAGCCGCTCCGTCGGGTGGCTCTGCAGAGCCAGCAGGAGCACCTCCCAAAATGATTTGTCTCGCTCCCAGGTTGGCCTTGGAGACTCCATCGCCCCTGTTCTATGAAACTTACAACGCTCTAGCAGTTCATGCAGCCAGGCAGTTGTAGCAACATGTAGCATCTTCACGGTACCAAGTGCTAACTCTATTGCCAGTTTGCTGCATGAGGGAAACCATTTTGTTGCAAAGCATGGCAAAGAGTAAGTGGAGTCTCTCCACTCGTAGCAAATACGGCAGCTACAGAGATTCTGCCAATCGCATAGTCAATAACTGTGCGCATCATTGCCTGATCATACCTGTCATACTATAGTATGGTGGTTGTGGCAGGTGGCGGTCATGACTTAAGAGTAGTTAAGCCAATTAAGCCTCAACAGCGAGCCTGCAGCCCGCGATGACGCTGCACACCGCTGCGTGCACTCCTTGGCGGAGTAAACAGAAGACGGCTGGCCTTTCGATGAGCCCAAGGCTTTTTGGTACCCAGTCCGAGCCAAGGTGCATAGGCTCCAGAAGTGCCTCAGCAGGACGGGCAACTACATGTGAAGCGAAGGCATGTCGCGCGTCTCTCGGCAGGGTGCCTGGACAACTCGTGGGGCCTGACAGGCTCCGACGATGGCGCAAGCACAGCGGAAGCCTGAAGTTGACTCTGCTCTCAACATGCACTGTATGGATGAGAAACTGCGGCTGCGCAACAGCTTTCTGCAATGACCAGGATTGTTACGGACGTGCTGCGCAGAAGAACCTCGGGGTGGAGGCAGGAGGCTGGTGAGACCGCGGGTGCCACGGCAGGCGTGCTGTGATGCGCCGTAGTTGCAGCTAGCGAACAGGAAGAGCAGCTGCAGCCAGCACCTCGATCTCGCTGCCAAACCTTGAAGCCAAGAGTGCTGCGTGCGGTGCATTCGCCCAAACCACAAGAAGCAAAAGAATCAAGAGGCGGTGGCCGGACACACAATGCGACACGCCGTGCCGGCCAGGCAACGCCTCGGCAAGCAGCCGCAGGGCCACGCAGGCCTCAAGGCGACTGAAATCGTCGGACGGTGACCATCGCACAGCGCACGCGGCCAGGCGAGGCCTCGCGGACCAGCGCTGAGCGGAGGTCCGTGACCTGAAGCGCAGTCCAGGACTTGCGAACCCAGCCGACGCGGCACGATCCAGAGCCTGCGCCAAGAGCAGCTCCCGCAATCGCAGCAAAGCCAGCACGAAACCCTCCAGCTGCGAGCTGCCCATCACCTCGGGACAACGACAATCGGTGAGCACACAAGAGGCATCGGAACGACAGGATCTTCTCCTTCTTCTTCGAGCCGGGCGTCTAAACCTTGCAGTCTCTTCAGAGAGCGGCAGCGCTCGGCCCAGTCCTGCACCAAAACTCGCCTGCTCCTTTGCTCTCCCTCCTGCTGAAGAATCCAAGTGGCATCTCGCTTCTCCAGGGATCGCTGCAACCTGTGCAGCTGCAGACAGCCGCTTCTCGACCCAACGAACTTGAATCGACAAGGCACGCGTCCATCTCCCGAGCAAGCTCCCGGCCTTTCATGCGGACACAGCACAGCCGCCACATGGGGGGCGGGGACTTTCCTCTGACATCGTCTGACTCTTGCAGCCTGTGGAGCAGCAAACTGCTTGCACATCCTCCGCTGGTTCCTTCAGCTGCCGGAATGGTGCATGAAAGCGAAACGGCTCGAGAACTTGGATCATGGTCCAACAATAGCCAAGATACTAATTCAACCGAAGCAATGTCGGCAAGCTTGCGTGGGGCCATGGCTGGTGCAAGCACCTCTAGGTGGCATTAGTCTACATTGTCCATGATGCGTGGGCTAAGCGTCAAGCTGGGGCATGTACCAGGCTGAGGTCTGAGGCCTTGTGCTTGTGATCCGCCAGACAGCTCCGATTGCATCACAAAACATGCAGGACGTCTCCACCAAGTGCCACCGAAAGATGAGCGAAGGCCTGTTTCGTCGCACCCCAAAGCCCCAAGCCATTCTTTATCGCCGGCACGGCGTTTGCCTTGACCGCGCAAGGTCCACGATGTCCACGGCAACAGGGCAGACCTCGGCACACGGATGCCCACGGCGCAGAAGCGGATGAGAGATGTCAGAGGCAGATCGAGACGAGTGACACATGCGCTCCTTGCATGACTTGCAGTTTTCCTGCGACGAGGTGTGAGGAGGTTCGGAAGCCCCTCGCTTAAGCAGACGCTTGGTGGTTTGGTGGAGCCGGCGATCCCAGGCGATCCACTGATCCCGACGTCCCGAGATCGATCAATGAGGGACCGGTGCGCATTTGCCTTGCACGGAGCTTGGTCCCGACCCGGAAAGGGACACACTGACACTGCAGCACACATTTTCTCGTGAAGGACGTTTCCAAGGAAGCCTGGCCTCATAAAGTACGCATAATTAGGCATATGCATGTGCCAAGTACCTGACTGGTCCTTTCGAGGATGAGCACGCAGGTCGTTCGCGAATTCCGCTGGCTGGAGAGATCAAACAAACAGACAAAGTTTGCAGAGCTCTGCCGAGGACCTTCTCCTGGCTCCTAGTCTTCGTACTCGTTTGCGCAGTCTCACTGGGACCACCCAACCATGCAAGCAGGGCGTAGCAGAAACGGAACAGGCATCGGCCCTGAATTAACCGAGATTCCAACTCCTGAGCCTTCCGCAAGGCCGTGCTCGAATCCCTTTTGAGGCTCATCATGTTTATGATGGCGAACTCCCGGCATGGTTCTTGCACCGACTCCAAACAGCTCGCATGCTGCAAAGTCCGCCGAGAACCAATGCCCAGCAAAGTCAACCGAAGGAGAAGCGAAAATGTCGGTTGATCATTTCATGCTGTTGAATTCTTGCTGAAGCCATGCTGGTTCGGTCCCATTTGGGCAGTCCTCATGGCTTGGGGTTTGGTCTTGTGGTGTGCAGGACCGACAGCATGAGTTCAACTCTAGCACCTGTCAGTTTATCACAAGCTCCGTGCCAAACAACCACGCGAAGGAGCCCCGAATACTCGCACAGCACATGCATTCGAAACACAACCAGTCGGAGAGGTTACTGCACCACCAGATGAGTCCTCAAATCGGGGCTAGCCGCGGGTGCTTCACTCAAGCCCAGCGCAATGATCTGAGGCGGGTGTCTGCCACGGCCGTCGCTGGGTTTCGGTTGCTCACAGCTGATCCTTCGAGCCCCAGTATGCTAAATTCTACAAGCTCCAAGATGCACGAAGCGTTGGCCATGGGACCTCACCCGAACTAAAGAATTCTGCGAAAAGATCTTCGTTCTCATCGGCGCATCCTTGTTGCATGACCTGGCTGCTGGAGAGAAGGGATTCAACTGCAGCCTTTTCGTCGCTTATGATGGACAACCAGCCCTGCAATGTTCGCTCTGTTGAAGAAGCCTCGCGGAATTCCAGAACATCAGATGTTCAAAGTCTTGGCGCACAAACTGTTGTCATCAGCTTGATGAAGACCATTGTAAATTACGATGACGATGCTGATGCTGATGTTGATGCAGCTGATGTTGATCTGATGATGATGCTCACGAGGGTCATGCTGATGACGATGGTGATGATGAAGATGATGATGGCGATGATGTTGATGGTGGTGATGGCGACGATGATGTTGATGATGATGGCGACGATGATGATGATGATGATGGTGGTGGTGGTGGTGAAGATGATGATGGTGGTGATGATGATGTCGATGGTGATGATGATGATGATGATGGTGATGATGATGATGACGATGATGATGAAGATGATGGATGAGGATGATGATGATGATGATGATAGCGACAGAGATAAGACTACAAGGCAGCATCTTTTCCCCGTTTTTATGATTCTCAGAAGCATCATCAAGTGTAGTAGCAACAGCAGCAGCAACAGCACCACCAGCACCAGCAACAACAACAGCTCCGCTGCTGGTACTGCTGCTGCTGCTGCTGCTACTACTGCTGCTGCTCCTTCTGCTACTACTATACTACTACTACTACTACTACTACTACTACTACTACTACGACGACCACGACGACGACGACGACAGTGAGCACGACGGCCACGACGACCACGACGACGACTACTGCCGCTGCTTACACAGTATTGCTCCTGGTCGTTATCCTCCTGTTCCATTTACGCTTACAATCATCGCCATTGTCTCCGTCATAGTCGTCTTGCCATCAGCATCCCCGCAATCGACACCATCATCAGCAGCAGCAACAGCAGCAGCAAAGTCATAAGCAGCATCCGCACGTATCATCATCCTCCCCAAGCACATTTCAAACATCATCAGAGTCATCCATGTCATGATCGTCATCAGCATCATCATCATCATCGCCGCCACCACCACCACCACCGCCACCACCACGATTGGAAGGTCCATCTCCATCGTCCTGGCCCAATGGAGCATGCTCGGCCTCCTCTCACTTCGCCTTGTCATCGCCGAAGCCCAGAGCCACAAGGAGGCTAGGCCGGCCCTTTGATCCTGTCAAGAGTCTTGGCTAAGTGAAGGCTTCAGATTTGCCTGGTTCCCCCCAAACATCATCAACACTCGAACCTGGAAAACCCCACGTGCTGCCGAGAAGTGGCGGGTCTTCTCTTGTTCGGCAACGACAGATAGACTTGGCGCCAGTCCCTGCAGCCAGCAAAGCGGCTCAGGTGTGTTGCTTGGGGGCCGTGTCGGACATCTGAATATCGGCCTTCACCTGCGCAATTCTGCAAACCGAACCATTTTAGACTGTGCTGTTCCTGGCAGCACGCAAGACCTCGAGCAAGGAACGAAAAGACGAAAAGAGAGTGTCTGATGCCTCGACCGGCGCACCACCAAGACCCGCAGCAGGCGCAGCGTCAGCAGACAGGCCCTGAAGCGAGCTGAAGGCTCCTATCGGTCCTACCGTGTTTTAATTGGGACTTCCAGTGTCTGGTGACTGAGCATCGTGCTCGCGAACCCACGAATGAACAACCAACTTTGCGTGCGTCTCCGACAGTGTCGGTTGAAGGCCCGGCGAAAGCTATCATGGCTGATTTGGATGTTCAATTATTACTCTCACCCGGCGCTTTCGTTTTCCCCTGCTGCTACTACTACCACCACGATTGCTGACAACTTGCCGCTACTGCTCACAACCGAGAACTGCTGACTCTGCTGCTGCCCCCCCACCACGCAGGGAGTGCCTGAAGCTTGATCCTCACGCTGCTCTGCACCCCATCCACGGGTTGCAGCCGGGAAGTGCGGACAGCAAAAAAGCTGAACCTCAGGATTCAAGCGTCGATTCGGAGAAGGGGATTTCCGGAACTGGCCAAACCACACTACTTTTTGAAAGGCCCTGTGCTCCTTGTGGCTATTACTTATTCCGGATGCTGTTGCGTAAGACTGTCGGATGCTCTCACGGGCTTTTTGGTGGGTCCTTGAAGCACAGTCGAGCACAGTCGGAGCCTGGGCCTTGCTTGGAAGACACGCCGAAACATATCGGTCATGCGGTCACCTGTTCCGCTGGGATGCATCGCAACCACCATTTAGGAACACGACAAAGCCGACAATTAAGTGCCCAAGCACAAGTTAGACTTACTTGAGGCACATCCTGACTCGTGCTTGCGCCCGGGAACCAACGCGAGGCTGAAAGACTGAGCTCTCGACCGCCCGATCCAAAACATCCAAAGGCCCACCCTTGCAGGACAGATTGTTAGAATGTTCCGGATTAATCTGCATGTCTTTGCGAGCTTCATGCCAGCTTTGTGGACTCGGCGCATTTGAAATGGTGCGAGGCCATGCATAAGCATGCCAAGCAGCAGGACAAACATGCAGATGTGCTCCACATGACGTATAAGGTCGATGGTTGCGAGGTCTTGATCCGTGAGATCCTCAAGTCGTGCAGAAACACAATACGCTGGGCGAGAAATAAGTGCAACAAGTGCAATCAAAGCGATTACGACATGGCCTCGGTGGATAGGTACACGCAGGATCGGAACCAAACGGGCATGTTCGAGACGAAGGAAGCAGCCATACCTAAAGAGCTCTTGACTTGGTTTGTTTTCTCTCTCCCTCTCCCTCTCTTTTCCTCCTTCCACTAAGCCAAGGAGCACTGGTCAACCCACTGCCCCCACGCTGTGCGCGCCCGGTTTCGGGGTCGGGGTGAAACTAGCTGCACTTCGTCTTCCTCCCGCATTGTAGCTTCTTATGGTAAGACCTGGTAAGGCAGAGAAAGACATGCATGTAGCTGGAGTGCCACGTGTTTCACCGCAACTCAATGTGAGTGATTGACCGGGTTAATTAGCCTTCGTTTATCGCGCTGTCTTTACCAGGGTTGTCTGGATGTAGTATGGTCAGGGCCAGGGCAATGACCGATACTGTCCCTGATCGGAACACCGATCAGGGACACCGTGACCAAAGCCGGTGTCTTCTTTTTGCTTTCATATGTAACTGAACAGGATCAAGAAGAGTTGCGATTGATTCGAGGTTTCACAAGTGGTTGTCAATGTTCTGCTCGAGCGAGTGCTTCTGCGTGCGAGACAGTGGCCCGTGCAGCATGTGCAAGTGAGCATGGAAGTGACAACGCTACAGTGTTCTCGGAGCTGCTAGACTAAGAGTGGTGCAACCGACAGCTCCAATGGGTCGATGAAGACTCGACTGGCAGACTTCTATCCTCGCCAGGCATTGGTATGCAAGTATGCGTGGCCTTTGAGTGTATATTGCCAGAGGTTTCACCCAGGCTTGAAGAAAAAACAAAGCCAAACAGGTAACACTACCCCAATAATTCCTAACTCCTGACAGTTTACAGAGTCTGTGATTGCCGGTTTCTCACCAACTTCTGAGATACGAGCTACCCTTCCCATGTAGGTTTGGCCCTTGGCTCTGTCTTGAGTGTAGAGTGTAGAGTCTGCTGAAGATTGCAGCTTGGTGCAGCTGAAGACGGTGCAGACCCACGCTTTTTTTGCTCTTGCCTCCTTTCTTAAAAGTGTCTGCGTCGTAAATGACAGCGGGGTGCAGCATCAATCGTTTTTTTGCTAGATCCGCGGGAGACGTCCTGAGAATGTACCTGCCTTGTAACTTCTTATGGCCAGACCTGGTATGACAGAGAAAGGCATCTTATCGAAGTAACAATGCCCGTAGCTGGAGTGCCACGTGTTTCACCGCAGCTGAACGTGAGTGATTGACCGGGTTTGCAGTTTTACAGCTCTGTTTGGGTGAGAAGGACTCAATACTTGGAGTGGAGATCTGCACAAGTGTGGCGGGGTGGGTGTGCATGCCTTCCTCTTTGCTTGCTTCGAGGCTATGGTACAGGCAATCCCTGTACCCTGTGCCTCAGCATTCCCCCAGCGTGACAATGGTGGTAGGGCTCGGTTGCTGCTGTCTCACATGCCCTTGGCCGTATGTCAGGAACCCCACTACTGCTTGGATGTCCCCCAGCACGGACTCCAATTTCTCGGCCGGGCAGAGCGGCCTTGGTGGTACTTCCTCTGCCCCGTCGTTCAGCGCGAGCACGTCTGCTGCGTGCACGTGGTCCAGCTCCTGGTTCTCCTCGACGATGTCTTGGGCTCCTCGAGGAAGACATTTACGGCGGCTCCCGCTGGCAAACCAGTCCAGGTCCCCGTTGACTGTAGTAGCCATCGCTCGTATCGCTCGTTGGATGGCTTGACAGGCTTGGGTGACGCCCCCTCCTCCCTGGAGGAGTTGGTCTCCCCCCTTGTCCCACGCTGGCCCTCTGAAACTGGGCGTCCCGCTCGTTCACGGTCGGAGAATCGCTGCGAGGTCCTCGTAAAGCTGGTGCTGGTTGATCCCCTCTTGCTCATCTTACCATACTTCTCCTATCTGGGCTCTTGCTTCTCGCACAGCGTTCCGTCTTCGCGGTTTCTTGCGCGGCCTGTGGTGATGTCCGGTGTGGGCCGCGGTGTTCTCTATGCACCTTCAGTGCCGCCAGCGCTTGTGCAATGGCTCCCTTCAGTTCAGGTGGCATGTCCAGCTCCAAGGCAACAGCGGCTAAAGCCATCGCCTGATGAGTGCTGCTTCCTTTGTAAGGTCCCCATCTCCTTGATGGTCACCGGCACATCTCTCCTTCTCTCTCCTCCCTCTCTTCTTCCACACAGCAAAAGGAACACGGACACCGTAACCCCCCCGCGCGCGTGCGCGTACTGGTTGTTCGGTCTGAGTCTGTTGCTACTCGATGAGGCTTCCGGCACATCCCCTTACTAGTATGAAAAAAGAACACTAGGAACCTCCAGGCCTTATCTGCGTTATCTCGTCGACCATGGCTGTGACTTCTCTCTCTCTCTCGCTCTCTCCATTACTCATGCCTTCCTTCCTTCGGGACATTTGGAGGACTCCAGGTCCTTTCCACCTGCACGTGTGCCCTACGCCTGCGGTCCGTTGGGTGGGGTCTGTGTGAGACTATGGACTTTCGGTCGGAGACATGCCAAACATGCTTCCGTGTCGCAGCCCATCACGATGATGAGGAACAGCATCTGGCATGCCATTGCAAATTGGTCGAACCTCGTCCGATTCGCAGGAAACTCTTCGCCATGATGCGGAACGGTATTCTAGCAATGGCTGGCGGCTGCTGATTCTGGCCAAGGGGCTTCGTGGAGTAGCCCACCCTCGGCCTAGAATTGCAGCAAAAGCAGCGTGGCCGAACAGGCAGAACTTCCAACGGCTTCGACTTGGGCAAATATGCACCTTTAGGCCCCGACAGCTTGCCCTGTGCCGACATTTTGAAGACGACGATTAGCGGAAAGATACCAAGGAACACCTTCTCTTTGCTGAGCGCACATGAAGAGAGTGAGAGAGTGTCTTGTCGAAACCCGCCTCTGCCCGCTCCCAGAAGAGGCTGACATCCACCTTCAAGGCTGCCACATGCTGACGGGACTTGCCCCGTGGCGAAGCATCGCAATCAGATTCGCACACTTGCCGCACTGGTGCAGGCAGGCAACCGTGTAGATAGCAAAGGCCACTGAGGAGATGAGGCCGAGCATAAGCATGATGTTAACCACCTGGGCCGTATGGCGAGCAAAGCAGCAAAGCAAAATTAGAAGCACTCTCGGGCTCCAAGCGTAGTAGCGGGAGGCACGACGGATGAGCAGGCCGCACATGACCTCACGTGGCAATTTCTTTTTCATCACAGGTTGCAATTGGACATGGTCCACAAAGTCGAATTGAAATCCGAGTGGCCGTGTCTTGGATGCTTGGGGCATCGTGCTTTGTCAGTGTGCTGAAGGCAGGATCTGGACAGATGTACCACTCATCCAGCCTCGGAGATTGGAGGCGAAGGAAACTCTAGAAGCAAGGTGAAATCAAGATTGCAGCAAATGGACAGCTCTGACTCGCCTACTTCCCAGAGTGGGCTGGCTCCTGCGCACGGATGCAAAGCCCTGCTGGATTGAGGCCGAGTGGCGAAAGGCCCTCATCCACCTTGTTCGACAGGGGAACGAACACGGAAGTCTTCACTGAGGCATGTAATACGACACAGGACAATTGAGAAGGAACAACAGGGTGGAACAGGCATGGACAGGCAGGGGCTCCTTTTGCACCTCTTGCTTGCCGCAGCACTCATGCTGCGAGCATATCTAGAGCTTACGACGTGTCAAAGTGAGCCTCGCAGTACTGGAAGAGGAAGGAGCGGTTGCGAGCACATCCCTCTTCCTGAAGCATGTGCATCCGTCTGTGGCTTCGGAGGAGCACTACTCACCCAGCCTTCAGAGACACAGTGATCGCCAGCCACTGGCAGTCAAAGGGAAAGTGACGCACTTGCTGGTCCATTCCTGATCATGTGCAGGATGAGTGATGTACGAAGCCTTCTGCCTTCCCTTGAGCCCCGGGCTCAGCGTTGCGCGGAACAGCATCTGAACCTGTGCTGGCATGCACCGGCATGCACCATGAGCTTCTTCGGCACGCAGGGATCGTGGAAAGTATATGAACGTTCTTCTTTGTTTGGAGCTTCGTGTGATTGAAAACTTCCCTTAATTTCATGATTTTTGTCTTTCGCATGCTGATCATTTCTCAGAAGAAGAATGCAAAAATGCAAGCTAAAACGAATTACAATGAGAAAGACTGAAAACTTATGGGTCTCTTCGTACGTTAACCGCACCTTCTCCACCAAACGACAGAACTATGGAAAAGGATGTACAACAATTATATACCCTAACGGAAACGACGAACGTTGTCATGAAGTGATCAGACATGATAAGACGTTGATGAAAAAACTCGAAACTGGACATGAAGTGCAGACGAGCGACAGCTACATGCCCGGTCTTCGGGTTCACAACTTCGGGAGCCGAGCTCCTCAGGGCTGGGCAAGGCTTGGCTTAGCGCAGGCGTGAACACGCTGCCGAGCGCATGCGCCTTTAAAAGCACACCCCCGAGTCCCGTCCTGTCGATCACCTCGGCTTGGATGGCGTTCCTTGGTGCGGCAAAGCTCGTCTGTACTGGGCACATGCAAAATGCGCACTACATCCAGTTAGCTCGTTTGCACTTGCCCAGGCACGTGATGGCAAGGGATGGAACCTTCAGCTCTTTAGCCTCGCAGAAGGTCTGCTCTCGAAGACCAGGCATTCGCCGAGGCAAAAGCCCGTGATCGACTCTATCACACAAGCAACTCTCCATGACAACCCTGAAAAAAAACAAGGCCCGCTCAAGCAGAACGTTTGCTCTACTGCTGCGCCTTCTTGCCCTTCTCCAGGCCTACTGCGCTTTCGTCCAGCCATTCCTGAGCAGATTGCCGCTGCCAGGGCAGGGAATGGCCAACAAGCGATGCAACATTAACCTTTCTGGATGCTGTCGGGTATCTAAGAATACACGAAACTTGCACTCGAAGGTGGCTTTCACAAGGTCCACATTGCGGATCAGCCAAATCCGGAAAGCAATAGAAATCACCTGACTTGGCATCGATGGCGTCGGGCCTGCTTTAGTAACTGGTTCCCTGTTGGGGCTATATTAAAAATGATCATTTTTAATCCTTATTAGGGTTTTATTATGTCAAAAATGTAAAATTGTATCCAACAAGGACCCAGGTAACTTTAGTATTGACAATGACAAACATCGACGAACCCGGCCTGTGTCTCCCCGACTTTGGAATCCTGGTTCGTGAAGGCGCGGAGCTCAGAACCTTTACAGACATTTTGCTGATCAAAGACCGAGACGAATTCCAGCACTTGCGATCAGCGCAATCGGGGGCAAGCAGGAACACAGATGCTATGCCAAACCAGACGGTACCATGCGGTCACCCCAACACCTCAGCGCCTCCACCTAAGCACCCCAGTCTTCGGAGGCCTCGCGAGTACTGTGGTGTCAAGGGCAGCTCGGAATCCCTGTTGCCGGCCGTCAACGTCTCAACCTGCTGAACCTGCTGGAAGCTTCGGGACCATGAAGCCACGACTACCGCTTGTACTGTTGAAAGTCAGCGCATCACCTTTTGCTTGCTCGTGTTCCAGCACTGGTTCCACAAAGCATCTTTAAAGAAAGGACGAGGACAGCTTGGAAGTAAGAGGAAGAAACATTGCAAACTAGCGCATGGAGAGAATGTGATCCTGACTTGCCCTAAGCCATAGCCAGCCAGGCCGGGCCCAACTAATGCACAGTCAGCCCAGCCGCACAAGCAACCAACAAAAACAATGTGTCACACGTAGCTGGAAAAAAATCAACTAAAAACTAACACATTAGATCATGTGAAATTCGCACTCATAAAGTCATAAGTCATGACACTTGCTGACGATCAACACAACAAGCTAGAATCACAAAACAAGTTCAATCACCTCTCCGAGGCAACGCAGGCAACCCTGGTCAGAACGCGAACATCAAAGGCGGAAGATCGTGCAAGGGAGGTCGCTTCGAGATCTGGCAAGATGCGCTCTGTCTGGCAGAACACTTCATCAGGCCACGTGGTAGCATCTTGCAAGCGCCGGCCTCACCCGAGGAAAGTTGGCGCGGGGAACGGCCTGAGATGTGCAAACTGTACGACCCTTACTGATCTCACTCTCGCACTGTACAGCACCGCTGCGGCTAGAAAACAGAGGTCAGAACAGAAGTCGGAGGCACTGTGACTTCTGACAGGGCCGGTGGTCCGGAAGCAAACTGGCTTCAACCAATCCCTAGTCGACGCAAGTCTGCATGTTTAGCACATCCCGCCAGCAGTCGTAAAGCTCGATGCAAAGCCTTTACGTTAACCTGTGTTGTCGTTCCTGCTCAGTCGCTGAAGCGTGGCAGCAGCCCTGAGCTGATGCGCTGCGGCAGGATGAGACCAGATCTCATCCTCGGTTGCAGCCAAGCATCGAGGCGAAAACGCAGGGCTAGAAGCACCGAAAGGTAAAGTCCAAGGAACGCCAGCCTGGCCCCAAGCAGCTCGGACCTTGGCTACAGAGCTGAGAACCGAGGCCCTGGTTCAAATCAAGATGTTGGGTCTTCACACCAAACTACTCTTTCCGCTACATTTCCCCTCGGAGCCGCTTCTTGCGATGGATGGCATAGAGCACAAAGCAGAGATTCCACAACACCTAGGCTGCATCAACAGAATCAGAAGGTTGGCGCGGTAGGAGAAGCGCCACTCACAGGGCTTGTGCGGTTGAATGTGTCTCGAACTCTCTGATCTGAGTGGCCCATAGAGCTGCCAATCCCACCAGCAAAGCCCGCTCGATCTCCTCTCTCAAAGAGCAGGTTTTCAGGCGGGGTCAAGCCGAAGCCCCTTGACTCAGAGCGAAGCAGACTAGCCTCAAGACGGTTTCGTATGATTTCGTATGCCAATGTGTCCGCTCACGATGTGAAGAGGCAGAGTAGGAGGAGGAGGAGGAGGAGGAGGAGTACGAGGGAAAATCAGGAGGCAGGAAATTGAACCCGGACGCTCAACGCTCTCATGCCTGTGTTGAAGGCGCTTGAGAAAACATGCCCTGTGCCAGCAAAAGCCTGGAAGCAAGAGGGCTCGGAAGACATTCCGGTCCTGGAGAAAGCATGCTCTGCTGGAGTCTTTGCTCAGATAGTAGCATCCCATGAATGTTCCCACCTGAGTCCCGACCGTTAAAGTCCACTTGCCGAGCTTTTGAAGATTTAGAGTTGCAGGATATTCGCAATCTGCAGCTATCCGGCTTCGCAAGAAAATTCAACACGACACAGCTCAACACCTCCCGCGGCTCACTAGCCTTGCATTGCTTGCTGTGCGCGAGTTCGGGGAGTTAGTCTTGTCCGGACAGCAAATGTCGGCAGCTTCGGTGCCCTGTGAGAAGATTGGAACATCGCTCACATCTTGGTGCCATGCAATTAGACACGCCAGCATCTGGCAGGAGATCAGGTAGATGTCGAAGGGCGTCCAATGCTGCACCTTACCAAGTTTCACGACTGCGACATCCAAAACGCAAAAAGAATGGTCACAGGATCGTTCTCATCAGGCTGCCGCACATAACCGGAGCCACATAACCAGAACCACAAAAAGGAGCACTCAGGAAACAAGCTGCTGACTAGCCGGCCTAGCCACTTTGGGCAGTCGATGCTCCACAGAAAAGCGAAATGTGGTCTGAGTCAGCACAATCTTCAAGATGTCCACCAACCTGGCGCATGGAAGATCGCATATTCAGCTTCGCTATCAGCATCACAACTTGAAGACAGCTGAAGACGCCCACAGGTACCCTACATTAGGCTGAATACCTGAATGTTACAAGCAGGGTATTGGACCACCCGTCCGTGCCTCTTCGTAAATTCTGACGACCTCGGATGTTGCATCACCGCGGCAAGTCGCATTCCACGCTCTCCCGCACACCATCTTCGCCGACATGCATGCAAGTTAAAGGCGTTCTTGGAGAGGCCTGACATGCCCAAGTCACGGCAGGACGAAGAAGGAGAACATCAATGTCGACAGAAACCAGTAGATGCTGAGAACCTGCAGGAGTTCGACTAACAGGAACGCAGAAGCACTGCGTCAGACCGTGCAAAAGGCGAGATGATCCAACACGGTTTGGGAACAACATGGAACAACCACTAGGGCATGATTTCGTGAAGTCCGTGCAGGTGTGTAGATCAGCGGCGATGAGCTTGGCAAGCGATGGCAGGCTAACATCTTGCACACGACGCTCATTCAGACCGCAACTACTGCCTGCTTGACATAGAAACCTGCTTGACGCTCAGCGAGGAGACATACCTCGGAAGCAGCACAGAAGGTACAAGCACTCAGGTTCTCATTGGATGCACTGGTAGCTTGTGAGGAAGTTCTGGCGTCTGCAAAGAAGCAGCGCCACATGTCCAAGACACGCTTGAACTTCAGAGCTTGGCATTGCTACAAGCACATCCGGGGAATGCTGGGGGTGTTGGTCAAACCGTTACGAGTACCTTCGTTCGGCGGGTCGGCCTTGACTTTCTGCTTGGGATTCTCCTCCAAGGAAGGTGCCAGCGCAACCACCGAGTCCTCGAAAGCCAAGGTGTCAAGACAAGTGTGGCTGGGATGGCAACTGCAATGATCCGTTTGGGGTTGCAAGGCCGGCAGTGGAGAGATTCCGCAAGCACTTCACGCTACGCCGCTGTACAGCGGGTTGCCACTGTACATGACTTCCTCATCTTCAACAGTACCCGGACATGAAGCCTGAGCACGAAAAGACATCAGTAAGCAAACAAAATGGAAGAGGAGTGATGGACCAGCGAGTGACCTCACCTCAGGGGAGGTCACTCGATTTTCATCTCGCAAGCGGGGATTGGGGAATTTCACGGATTCGCTAACGGGCAGCTTGCGGTAGCGCGCCAGGCCGGAGCCGCGTGTTCCGGTCACTGGCGGCGGTGCCACGTCTTCGTCCCGGAGGTTCACCAAAGGAAGCAACTGCCCCGCCGGTTCGTGACCTTTTGTGTCCCTGCTTCGCCTTCTAAGGCGGTGCAGAGTCCCTTAGCCACATCCCTGGACTTGTCTTGACTTCTGGAAGAACCCATGTCCTAGAGATTCGCGAGCACGGCTTTTTCAAGCAATCAGGAAAGCGATTTTCAGAAGCTCTGAGGGAAGACGGAAGAGGGCCCGGGGTCCTTCACATTCCAGCCGTCCAAGTTCTTGGACTGGTCCTGGAAAGCAGAAGCAGAAGGCTTACAATGCTTACAAGCTCTAGCTTGGGAGCGGCGCATATTTAGCAAGGTCTTAGACCCCCATAACGACCCGAAGGGACTTTAAAGGCATCCTCCGGTGCCCGTACGTCCAAGGCCCCCAAGCTGGCTCAGGCTCTGAGGGCCCCACAGCAGCATCACAGAAGCTGGGGGCCAGCTCGAAGCCTGGAGCTAGGAGGCACAACGCCTTCTTCCTAGTCATCTTGTCTGTTGCCAGGGCTGTCTGCGTGGATTCTTGGCGATTTGAGACTTGGGACGGGAGCACGGCGCCGTTGAAAGGTAAGTGCAGCTCGTTTTGTACCACGACAAACGAACTTTCGCGGCAACCGGTGCTGCCCTCAAACGGAAGATCAGGACTCGAACGGCCTTCACAGTCTATGAGCTGCATCTCCACGACCAGACGCTGGCCTCGCCACATCACGTGTGCTGAGCAGCATCCCGAGTTCCCTGAACCTGCGCTTCTCCAATGGGGGAGACAAACTAAAAGACCGACTTGCCTGTCCCTGGACGCACGAGTCAAGGCATGTCAAGGCTGCTTCAAGGGCGTCTCAGTCGGACCTTCTGACTTGGCTTATCATCCCAAGCGACAATTCCCTCAAGGCCAAGATGCAGTCGAAGGGGAAGCTGTCCAAGCAGTAGTCCTCAGCCACTGTCAGCACCGTGGATCCGCAACGATTGCACTGAACGACAAGTCCAACCGTACAGCGCTCAAGTTTCGTTGTGGAAGACGGCGTTGATGTGCAGACGGCACGTGATGCGACCCGTCTTCTCGTCCAGAACCTGTGCTCCAACGGAACAAGCGACCCTACCATCAGGTTACACGTTGCAAGACGCGGGAGTGCTTCAGATGCCTCTGCAAGCATCTGCAAGGCAAGACCGTTCACTTGCTAGACAAAGTGGCTCCACTATATCTGTCAACAGCTGCCTTGCATCCTGTCGCTGCGGCCGGTCCACACTTTAATACTATAAACCCCGAACTAGCCCAGCTGCGATGATGTCCGAGTACTCTTCCAAGGCAACCGTGATGGCATTTCGCACGCTCACATTTGGCACAACCTGAGCCCAAGCAAGGTCCGACAGGTCTCTGTTTAGGGCACTTCTGGCTCCTGCGAAATCTGCGAACGCCTTCGCACATGCCCAAACGCCGTAAGCCCAAATCACCTGGTCCGTTCTTTCTCAAGAATCCCCTTGTTCATGTCGGCGAATCTAATTCGATTCGCGCGCTCTGCTACGCTTTGCCACTGGTGCAGCAACTGCTGCTTCTGCCAAGACAGCCAGGTTGTAGCGGGCATGCCTAGCCCCAGCCGACCCTCCCCAAACTCTTCCAGACCAAACAACACTTACGTATGCTCCGGCGACCAGCTGCATTATGACCCTCCCACCTTGTGTGAAATGCGGGTGGCTTGCGGCATGCCCACCGCGGCCTCCCGGGTTCTCAAGCTTCAGAGTTTCGGTGTTTGCGGACGGCTCCCCACCTGATCCACCCACTCCATGATCACGTGGAACTTGGCCATGAAACTCGCGGCGGCGACATCAATGTCCGACACCAACCAGAATTTGACCTTAGAGTCAATTCTGTCAGGACTCCTTATTTTGGTTTCCTCATTAATCTACATCGACCAAACTCCTTGCAGCCGGAGGACCCCCAGCTTCACAGTCACGATGCCACCCAACCCGTCGGATGACCTGCATGGCTCGAACCTGCCTCTCCTGCTCGGATGCTTTCAGACTTTCAGGCCTGCTGGTCTTTCGAACAGTGTTGAGAGGCCTCTTGCCAAGCGGATCCGACGGCCTGCAGGCACCAGATGGCACCAGCACATGCCGAGGCATGTGCAAAAAATGTACACCGCACCTTCTCAGAATTTCGAGCTGCTCTGCAACATCCGGGTTGGGGTCAGCCTCCAGTGTGAGGCCTCGCGGGGGGTGGTCAATCAAAACGCATCCTGCACGGAAGATCAAAGGAAATCTCGTGGCGCTGACCTGAGAGGCTGCGTGGCAACCGGCCGAGGCCCAGGGATTCGGCCTGCACACGCCAAGAAATCTGTGCCAAAGTGCCAGGCATTCGACTTAGGCAGCGTAGTTCTGCCTTGGATGAGTTGCGGCGCACGTGCCAAATGGCCTCGGAGCTTTGAAGCAACATCCGCCCCGTGCGATGCAGTTCGAGTCTATCACCAAGGACCAAGATCCAAGCCCGAATATTCAGTGCCAGCCATGTCAGGCAGAACAGCGCACCAGCGACTCGATCCACGATGGTCAGCACCTGGTGCTCAGGCTCCGCAACGCCACCCAGAGCTGCTTTTCCCCAACCTCGAAGTTGAGCCACTGCAGCTCCAACTGGCTAAGGAAGTCCTCGTAAGCAGCGCCATGGCAATACTGTCTGAGGAGGGCGACGGCTGCTGGCCGAGCGTCAAGGAATGCCGTAAAAAGGCCGATGCTGAAGAGGAGTCCAAGACCTTCAGTGACAACGTCTGGGAAGGGGGGAAGGTGCCACACAGTCTAAGCCGCTGGCTGTTCAAGGCTACCTTGTCGTAGGCCGTGATGCAGACCACACGGGGCATCTTGCTTGAGACCGCGACCTGCAAGGGGCGACAGAACCTGGACTAGCACAGCTCGGCCCTTTCCCAGACATTCCAAAGTCTGCGAAACCTTTGCCACGTTCTGCACGACGAGGACACCCACCATCACCTTGCCGCGCTCCTTGAAGTCATTCCTGAAGCCAGGAGGCGGGCCCGAGGCACCCTGAACAAGCCGTCGGCACTGTGAAAACTTGAGGGCTTGCAGATGGTGAGATCGCAGGAAATTCCGGAGCTTCATGCAAGCTGAGTCGCCATGCTGCCCTCAAACCCTTCCCTATAGTGCTTCCGAGAGGCACATCCAAGGCGTAGACAAAGAGAATAAAGGTTGACCACAGGCACATAGACAGCAGGCTTGTCACGTAGTACCGGGAGAACCTTGAGTCTCGACCGGAATAAAGAGCCACAGCGTCCAAATCCCGTCTGACATCGTTCAACTGTGGTGCTGTGGCACTTGGCATCTGCAGGTGAGAGACTGAGCTACGCAGCTACACGGGATGGAGTCACGACTGCAGCAGATGCCATCCTACTCGATTCATGGCTACTCGACAGTACAACCTATGAGAAGAGCCGCCAACAACTAGCCGCTGGCCTTTTTGCGAGGGTGAAAGGCCGTGAAGCCAAGTCACCGCTGCATCTCGAGCCCAAAAACCGCCTTCGAAATGCCTGAGTCGACCGTGCTGAAACCAACCTATTCATCTGTGCGACTGCAAAGCTTTGGGCCTGTGATGCGGTAGGAAGCACCAAAGACGCCAAGCTCAGCCCACTCGCCGGTCTGGCACAGCACGGAAGGGTTCGGAAGCGCACTGGGAAAGGATCAGCTGCCGAAAGCTGTCCAGCCTAGATCTACATTCAGTCTCAAGACCTGGGCCCTCTGTTGCGTCCGGTTCCGGGGTCTAAACGCGCAAAGCCACTCGGCCTTGGCAGTCTTGTCCTCACTGGCTTGCAAGTCCGTTAGGACCTTGAGCAACCGAAAGGATAGAGCAAGTGTCTTCAATCCAAGACACTCACATATGTACGAACAACAGCTCCCCGAGTAGCTTGCAGCAATCACCACGACACATGTTCCACTCAATTCGAGTCGGGTAGCCATGTGACGTGCGCGGTCCGAGTGACTCGGAAGCATCAACACCTCAGATGTTGAGCTCAAGTAGGAGTACCTAAATACGACCACATGCATCATCATATAGTTCTGTAGATGCCCGTACATAAAGATAACCTTGCACATACATAGCATCTACAATACATTTACCGCTACAGACGGATGCAGTCACAATGACAACTACTTGCCGTTCTCATGCCGGAAGTTTCCCTTCATCGATACCGGAAGCTCGGGACAAACGCCCCGGAGCGAAAGATGTAGCGCACATGCCATTGTACACACTTCCTTCATCGACCCACGAAGGCATCCATGAGAAGAGGTAGTGTGCTTGAGCCCACGCAGCCTTTGCCTTACGCTAACCTACGAAATTGAGCACCGCTGCCTGCCTTTTTCAATCTGTTCAGGCAAAGACAGGCGACTTACCGGCTAGAAGGCGGTTTGCAGTAACTGCCGGATAAATAAATAATACAGTGTTCAAAGGGATCACTGCACAAGAGTGCAATTGCAAAGGAGACAGTATCATATACTGTTATGGAATTCTACACCACAGCATGTGAAGACGGCATTAGCGGAAGTCGGTAGTGGGATACCACAGCAGCAGGCGAGTCTGATCCAAAGATACCCAGAATCTATGCTGGCGGCTCTTCCAGGATTCCATGAGGGCCGGCACGTCGCATCCCTAAACTTCCCAACCCAGTTCACAAGCAGCTTGCCCCTTCGCGGAGGCCACTCTATCACCTCACAGAGTCACAGAGACCCTCTCAGAAAAAGCCAAGCTTCTACATAGAGCGATTGTTGATCCCACGGGAAATTCCTGAGCTCGGCGTTGCCAGGCACATCCTACAGCTTCAGCTTCAGCATCTTCAGGCTGAGCAGCGACAAGTTGAACATCAGCAGCACTTGGGCTTTGATCTTCAGGTGGCAGGTAACGTGTCCTTAGGTGACAGTGCCGGGCGGCCAAAGCCTTTAGGACGCTGACACCCCTGTTGGCCGAGCTTCCAGTCGTCTCATCGACCACCCGCCCGGACAGGAAAGTAGTGTTCGTGCCTTACAGGTGGTGCAGACGAACCTTCAACGTCAAAACAACTACGAGTAGTAACTACGAGGAGTTGCTCTGAAGCTCTGCTGAGCAGCTCTGTGCGTTCTGGACCGTCAGCTTTGGTTGGCCCAACTCTTGGCACCTGCAGTACACGGCGAATTGATCCAGATGCAAGATCTTCCATCACTCTTCCGTCATTGCGCCTTTTGGCATCGAGGGCCATGCTGCTCGAGCAGGCCTTCGCACGTTCATCGAGCCAGGCCATTCGGACCTTGCCATCGACATGTCTTGATAGGCAAGCGACGCAAGCAGCAGATTGTTGCTTAATCAATGGGCTTTCAAGCAGGGCATTGATCTGAGCAGCCTCGAAGACACAGGTAAAGTTAGCGGCCGCCGGATTGATTCCAAAAACGTGCTGGAAGTTCACCTCCAGCAGCACGGCCTGAGATAAGCTACTTGCACTCGCTGTCATCGTGCCCAAGTTTGCATCGAAAGGGAATGAAACTTGGCAGCAAAGCGACACCGGTGGTTTGCACAGACCTGACCCTTTCCACACAGAACTTCACCCAAGGTTGGATCAACCTTTGCACTGCTGTACTAGTATCCCAGCCATCCGAATCCGCATCGAGCGTATGAACTAGGAGGTCAGTTTTCGCCCAACAGCTTTTGCGCTGTGCCTGTGGGCCGACAGCTATTTCCGGCATCCGTGGCTGCCTGAGCTGATCGTGCACAAGACTACCGTCATCAGGTGTCTACTAGTCGGATGCCTCAGAATCGCAACGCCCTCAAAAGACTCTGAGCTGCCGAGACATGATGAGGGCTTGCTCGTCAAAGCCTTCGGCGCAAGCTTTCGCCCTCATGTCAGGGCTCTTCATGCTCATCCCCCGCGCCTGGCCCGTGCACGGAACCACGGCGACCTGCCGGAAAACACCGCGCTGGCTGCTAGGACTCTCCCTGCTGGCTGGGGCTTCACGCTCAAGTCATGCTCACCTGGCACGGCGGCCCAAAATGAGAGGCCTTGTCGTTCCAGGATCTCTGCGTTGGCCAAGACATTGGAGCGACGAATCTGGCAAATGTGTCTTGAACTTCAAGGTAACATGCAAGAGTCCTATCCCCGTTGCCGTCTTGCTTGGGGCTTTTGTTTGCAGCTCAAGGGAACAAGCCCGAGCAATGATGTTATGCACAGTCCACACCGAACATCAGCCGGACCGCCTTGAAGACCATGGCCAGGTTGAAGAAGAGCCAAGAACCTTGTAATTCGCAGGCTCGCGTCTTAGGCGAATCGCTAGCTGCAGCCGCGGCACAAAGCAGGACTGCAAAAAAGCCTCCACGCAGCGCCATCGAGAAGCGTGCCATGCCTGCGCAGGAATGTGCTGCTATGACAGGAAGGCTTGTTCAAGAAATCCTGCGAAGGTGAGCGTGGTGCCTGGGTCCGAGATGACGAAACGCATCAGAGTACAGGAGAGCACCGTGGCGAAAAAGCAGGTTTCGGTTGCCAAAACCTGGGCATCGAACAGAGGATGCGACAGCGAGTTCACAGTTAGCAAGCATCCTCGATGCGCGACAGGCAGCATAGCGGTCAAAGATAGTGGCCTTGGCCACCTTGGGAATCTTGCCTGCGCAAGCGATTTCAAGCGACTGCGGTGGACTTTGCACATGCTCCTAATCACAGCTGCTCGGCAGATGGTGCCTTAGCTGCTTAGCTTACCGTGAGGCAAGGCCTGAGGCAGTCAGCAGCTTGAACGCAAGCAGGGTCATCAGCAGCGAAATCAGGATCTTGCCTGCCGCGCTTCGAGAACCGGGATACCGAAAGATGGAATTGATCGAACTCCCGACTCTCTGCTGCCTTGATCGTCGAAACCCGCCCCCTCGGTATTCACCTGGATGGCGAAGACCTGGAGTGCTCAAACTTGCCAATGGGGTCTCCAGAAAGGCTCCTCCAAGTTCAGCTCAAAATCACTTCAACACTGCATGCCTGATGTCTGTCAAGGCATCCTGATAAGTGAGATCTGAATCCGCAGCGGCAGCATCAGCAGCAACAACAGCAACACCACCAAGAAGAAGCCCCTGTGCTCTGGGGGTCGTGCTGTGAAAACCAAGCTCGAGATTCCCAGCATCACGCCCAGCACGGAAACCACGTAGTACTGGGACCTCCTCTTGACCTTGCAGAGAGGGCTCCCTACTAGGCCCTGCCTAGAATGCTCGCAAGACTGCTCGCAAGACTCGGCGCCTCGATGTACATGCTGGCGGCGCTCATCCCCTCGTGGAAGTCGCAGGAGGTCCAGGTCCCCTGGGCACGTCCGAAGTCCCCTTCTGGCACCGAACTGATTGCCATTTCCGGCCCCGGGGCCTGGAAGGTCCATTCGTCCAGCGTCTTGGCCAAAGGCTGCAGCTCCAAGGAGCGACAGACAAAGGCTCGGTTCACGTCCTGAGCAACTCCAGAAAACTGCAGAGGTCTTTCCTGATGCTTCTCTCAATGGGGCAGCCTGCTGCGAGGCTTCGAGGAATCCCTTTCTCGGCCCGCTGTATTTTGCTGGGTTGTACCGGGAACCGCTCACACTGTGGCCGGGTCCGGCTGAGCAAGGCAGGGATCCGCAACAGAAACTCTGCTTTTGTGCATTTCGGGGCTGGGCCGGGGCGAGGCCACAACGAGCATTGAGCTCGGATTGCTCAGACTACCAACAGCTCAAAGACCTTGAAATCTTGGAAGCCGAACCTTTCGCACGGAGATAAGCATCCCTTCTGCCCAGCCTTTTCGGCCGGCATGGTAAAGTCGATGGGAAGACTCTGCCAGTCGAATGGAAAGTTCCTCAGGCCAGACAGGCTCAAGCAGCACATGCAGGGATCCCGCTCCGAACGGCAAAGCCAGGGAGCCGCAGCTTCAGCCGCAGCTGAAGCTTGGCCATGTAGCGAGTGCACATCACGATCCTGGCAGAACTGCCCTTCAAGCCTACGACATGATTGCTCGATAGAGCCCCAGTTGCAGACTCCACAGACTCCTCTGGCTGAAAGCCTAAAGCTGTCTTTTGATGTTGCAAAGGACAGGTCCTGCCAGTTTCGGAGTCGGCCACCATGGCACTGGGACCATCCTGCAATGTCGGACAATGCTACAGCGCGGTTCGCACTTCTCTGAACGCTGAAACACATCCCGCTGCTTCCGACACACTGTGCAACGAACCTCCACTGAGAGCTCCACCTGAACCCAAGGGATTGGGTGTCCGGAGTGGGTTTCTGAAACAAAATCCTGATGTCAACCGCTTGAGGCAATGTAGGAAAAACTAAAAGAAGCCGAAAAGAGCACGGAAGCTCTGTACATTATCCTTCTGGGCTTACCTTGTTGTGAACGTCAATCTCTGGTGCTTTGTGGCCTTGGCACCGGGTCAGAGGAGCATCTGTCACTACGGCCGAGACAGCTGGTCAGGGCCCTGACGCGCAAGGTCATCCTGCGAAAGTCGAGTTCCAGCCTTCATCCCAACCTCACAAGCTGACCAGAGCACTGGGCTGGCGGTTTACTTTGCACTGGCACCGCTCTTGCACCGTGGTAGCTGTGGACAAAAGGCTTCCTTGCCGGCTCTGCAGCCGAGCAGCTGCTTCTTGGCTCAACCACTCCACGAAAAGAGTGAACCTTGTGAATCCCATCAGCTGTGATGCTTCAAAGCTTGGCACATCCGATGTGCTTCAAAACTTGGCGCGTCCGTTTCTCCGGAGAACGGCTCTGTTCATAATTCAGGGATGGAAAGGATTGCATGACCATGCTGACAAGGCGCTTGCACTCGTACTGGGCTTGGATAGGATCAATATCGTGGAGGAACCAGACAAGCCCCGACACAACCTCAGGGCGGGAGTAGCGAAAGCAGGTTATGCCCGGAGAGCCAGAAAAGGTCGAGAAGCCACCGCTTCGCTCGAGAGGTGCTGCATGGTGGGCGACAAGCGTCGCGCCGATGTGTAGCGGAGCCGATTCTTCAGCTTGGACTGAGTCAGGGCTTGGATTCACAGGCTGTCCTAAACCCGCTTTGTCTTCCTCGGCAACTGCACCAACCTGGGTCTGATCCGAGTCGCAACTTGTTCCATCGCTTCTTCCGAGAAGTCTCCATGCGCTGCTCCCTGCAAGAACTTGTCAGCACGGCCGGATGAATACATGGCCAGTCAAGAGCGGAGGGCTAGGCCTCAGCGGAAGTGGAGACGGCAGAGGACGACGGCTCGTGGTTCAGGAGCGCCTGGGCCTTCGCACATCGGATTCACCAGGATTCCTCAGGCTTTCGGCCTTCGGCAATCTTCGGCAACCGCAACCCCTCCCCGGACCTGGGCAGTCTTCTGCCGCGTCCTGGCAAATCGCACCATCAAAGTGAGCCCCCGTTTCTCAGAGGGGGAGCCTCACCACCCAGATGCTGAAGATCACGAGAGCCAGAAGCCTGGGCCCGCATTCGAGGGCGTTTGCATGCAGACTAAAGCACCTTCACGCCAACAGAAAGTCATACTCGATCCAGTGAGGCTCCATAGGGGCATCAATGTGAAGAGGATGACCTTGTCAACCTGGGCTCATGCTGCACAGGGAGATCTGTACAAAAGAACAAAACCCCTCCAGTCCGAGGAACAATTCTGGCAGCTTCCATGCCACCAAAGTGAAACCACCTGCCAGCGGTATCGCCAGAACAGGCTTCTCAAAGCCGCAGTTCGATTTGGCTTGATGCTCTGCTTTCACTCGCCTGTCTGCAAGCATGGCCACGATAACATCTCCTGACCATTTCACAGAACGACAGCATAGCCATCAAATTCATGTCGTTGCAGGCGCTTGCAGACTTGATTTTTTGCTTCCAAATGTCCAACGATCATCGACAGCAGGAGCAATTGGCAGCACATAGCGAAGTGGTCGAAAGCTGTTGCATATGCCACGATCGGTAACTTGCTGTCAATAGACAGACCTGATGCCAGGAGACCCTGCTTGGATCCAAGCGTTGCCCTCAAGTTCTCACGCGACCATGACGTATCATGCAGGCTGAGCCGCGGAAAGTGGTCTGTGCAAACAGGATCGATACGCCAAACCGCAAGCGGTCGAAGGGAGGTGCGACCTGGACGAGCTGCACGACATGCTTTACATAGCTGCTACAGATGCATTTTTTTAGCACTTCAAGCGCATTGGTTTACTTTGATGCCTGCAGGAAGTAGCCGGCAAACGAGGAGGATGCAATGGCACACCTCAGCTCGTGCTCGGGGATCCTTCCGCCAAAGCTGTTGGCGCTTTTTTCTGGGTCTATGCTCAACTATAACACACGGACACGCAAACACAGACCTGCACACGGAGTGCCTTGATCAGCTTGGTTGCAGAAACGGCAGCAAGGGCAACCCCGAGGGCCCGACAGCGTGATCAGCACGTTCATGACGTAGTACATGTAGCCACCTCGGCTGGTGTAACGACAAGGGCGGAACTGATCTCTACGATCTGCACTTGCAGCAACCAAGCCGAGTCGCGTCCGATGACCACTCCGAACTGCACCCGAGCACGGCCATCCGGGCGATCAGAATCGAAGAAGGTCTAAGCCAGCCGGAAGCCAAAAAGTGCAAACGGAGGAGGGGCGTGCAAGCTAACCTTCTGTCTCGGAACGACACAGCTACGAGTACATGTGCATGGGTGGACATCCTCACTATCAAGACAGGGACCTGAGAAAGCTCAAAATTCCGTGCGACAACCCAGGCATGTCGGGAATTTGTCTTTGATTCGGCTTTCCCACATAATATTGCCGGGACTCCCCAAGGATTTTCCATTCATCCAATCGAATCTGGCTGTCGCAATGGCAAAACCTGCGCACCAGCTCCAGGCTACTACCACTCCAGCACTTCAGCACCGGAAATCACTTGTAGTGGTCACCTGCAAAAGATGGCGCGGTCGCGATCCCGGCGAGCACGAAGTCCTGGAGCGCTGCTTAGGCGCGAAAGCACATCGCCAGCCGCCATGCAGGCAACAGCCGCTCTCATACCGAGCCGGCCTAGGACGATGTTGAGCCTCTGGGTGTCGAAGGGGAAGAGCCGCATGTCAATTTCCATTTGCATGACAGCCTGCCATGCTTCGGCACCACGTGATTCCTACAATGATGCGGAATGGCATATCTGGCAAGAGTTCGCAGCTTTGCGCACGTACCTGGTAGAGGATCTTTGCTGCAACGTGCCCCCTTTCACTGTGGATGACTTCCGGCGGGGAGTGGATCTCCAAGCCTCACATGTGCTTCCAAGAGTCTCGAATCTCGGAATAGATCTCACCAGTGTCACAGATGCTCCCTAATGCCAGTCAAACTGCCCGTTTTCAGCGTGTTCTGCAAAGCGATCTCTGGGATCGAAAGCTTCTTTCGGTTCTCCTGCGCTGGAAGCGAATGCACGTCGAATTCAGTGTTCAGACAGAAAGTTGTTTTTGCAGTCTAGGCCTAAGGTTGCAAGTCCCCAGCCTCGGACACGTCTCCCAGAGGCATTCCCACAGCAGATGGATCAAACCATTCCATGAAAACAAAAAAGCGGCACTGGTACGTCGCCGTCAGGGGGTTGATGTTGCGGATCCTGAGTCGCCCCAGCATTGTGCTTGCTCAACAAGCCTCGCATCATCTCATCACTTGCAGCCAAGGCACAGCAAAATTTCACAAGAACAGGCCACGGCCTTGTGACATCAGAAAGCTTTGGCCGGCTCGCCAGGCGGCAAGCACATTATCTTCAGCATACGTCACGCGTCCCAGTCCCGGGTACATACGACACAATGCGGAGCCGGAGCGCCTGAGAAGCAGGAGGTGGAGCCTTCTCCGAAGACTCCTGCCACACACCGTCGGCACAAAGGGATGAAGCCGCGCAAGGCCTGGCCCTACCTAGAGCTGCCCAGGGTCCAACGAGAGTGTCCAAGGGACTCTCAGTCAAGTGCTTCGCACAGGCAGTACATTCCCGGTCGATGAAGAACACTCGGATGCTTCACTTGGCACAATCAGAATCATAGTGCGCCACTAGGTGGCGACGGATTACCCCGGTTCAACAAACCATGGTTTCAACCCGGTCCTTTGCCACCATCCGGAAGCGGAGATCCTGTGCAGATTGCTGCACTGCGACTTGGAACGCAAGCTCGGGCACCTGGTTACTCTTAGTTTACACCATCAAGGGTCATGCGTCCTTGTGCATGTTCAGCACCTGAAGGTAGAGGCCAGAACCAACGATGTCCTTGTCCGGAATTTCCTGAATCGTGTCCTGGAAAGAAGAGTCGCCGTGTGACATCTGCGAAGCATCTACGAAAGCCAAAATAGGAAGCAGCCCAGCAAGACGGAGCAAACTTCGCCCTGGGAGTCCCCAACCATGACCCTCAGACCCTTCCCACCCGCACATGATCTCTCCTGCATATTTTCGGCCGGCTTCGCTCGCGCCCGAACGGGGCTCTCACTGTACAGCGAGCCTCGCGTGCTGGTCATTTAGGCTTCTCCATGCTTCTATGGCCACGGCTCGGATGACATGCTCATCAGTTACCACAGCGGAACTGTGATTGGGTTTCGGGGTGGCTGCTGCAAAAAATTCTTGTGTTTTGTGCGCGATGCTCTTGCGAAGGCAGGCTCTGGTACTTTTGCGCGGTGAAAGTAGAAGACTGGCCCGGCAAGGTGACTACTGCCGGAAGCCTGCCTGGGATGGAACTGACACTCTGCGCACTCTTCGGGCTGCAAGGGCCTGTCTCAGAGCAAAGCGGCCAAACAGCAAAGCACGACACCCTGGACCTGAGGAGAGAGTTCCTCCAGGTGGGGCACCTCAGGCAGAAGAAAGCAAGCCGACCTGTCCACACCTGACTGGCCGACCGTCCTCCATTGAGGGTGTCAGTGAAGGAGGGTCGACGGACCTGCGACAGACAAGCTCATTCTACGAGTAGCACCAATCCGCGAACATGAAGCCGACAGTGTATTTGCATATTGTACATCCCGTGGAAGTGCGGCACCTTCGGCAAGCCGTTGATGCTGGCATCGGAGGGCATCTGTACAGCAGAGATCTGCAAAGGCTGCTCTTCGGGTTTGCAGTGACTCCGTGTTTTCGGCGGATCGGAGTCAAGGCAGTATGACAGGTGCTCCACTCGTGGAAAGGTGTATATGCCTTGCGAGGGAACTCCTGGTGCTTCGCGTCGAACTGCACAAGTCGCGTCTGGTAGCAGCACGGGAGACCCGGATACCTGATCGCATGCAGCATGACCGCACGTGCTGGCGCCAGCATCATCAGTTTCAATTCATCAGCTGGCTCTGACTGTATGCACACGTGCATCTCCACACTGACGGTTCTTGCGAGGTGCGAGGAGGTGTCGCTTTGCACTACCTCCCAGACGCCTCTCTCCGGTCGAAATCGCACCTTGGCAACTGCAAACACTCTGCTGCCGCATCGCTGCTGCTGGCATTCGAAATCCTGTAAGATGAAGAAGCGTTTTGACCCACTTGAACTCAGGGCGAGGCCATGCGCCGAGCATCGCCGAGACCGAAGCCTGGCGAGAGTCGCGATGGCTTTGGACGCCCTTTGCTTTCCCAGGCGGCCTTGGCCCTGGCCCTGTTGCGACACTGCCTCTCAGGAAATCCAAGGAGGGTGAACTTGAGAGAGAGAGAGAGAGAGAAAGAGAGAGAGAGAGAGAGAGAGAGAGAGAGAGAGCGAGAGCGAGAGCGAGCGCCAGCAGCACGAGCGCGAGCGGGGAGATGGGGAGGGGGGACCAGGGACTATACTCCGAAGCTCGAAGAGAGGGGGGATGATCACACGCACAACCACTGGAAGAAGGCCTGAACCAAACCACCCAACCATTCCGCGCGCAAGCTCAAGGCCCAAGCCGCTTTAGAGGGGGGAGGGGGATGACCAGATGAGGGGATACCATTGGGGGGAGGGGTGGGGGGCCCCGGGGCGCAACCATACATACAGACAGACAGACATACATACATAGGGCCTCATCGACCTTGAGCTGGACCAGGTTTGAGCAAATGGCCCGACGGACCTGAGGCTCTTCAAACAGACAGAATAGCTTCATCTGGCATGGTGCACAGAAGCACAGACATGGGAGCCCGGCTTTTCCAGAAACATCATCGCGCTCAAGCGTAGATGCCCCGATCTTCAGCTCGTCGAGAAGGCACTTCAAGGATTCCTCGGTGTACCTTGCATGAACTTGCAGCGGAGCCCCCCTTGGCTCACGCCTGAAATCTGCAGATCTCACAATGGACTTGAGACGACTCCCACACTGCCCAGGCACATGCCCCAGGTTGTGACATTCACACCACCCATCTCCAGAAGCACACCTTGGTGACGTGCAGCAGACGCTGAAGGAGTTCGTCCGAATTTCCAGATCTGGAGATAAGGCTGGCCAGGCCGGTTCTCTGCTGCAGCACGCACGAATTCAAGCGAGTCCTTCCAACTGAAAGGCCAACCCTAAAGCCCCCAGCCGCCGATTTGCTTCCACCAACTCACCTCAACACCGCCAGGCCGCGGAGATCTCCAGGGTCTTGAGGAGTGTCGAGCTGCTGCCAGAGCCCCTCGGCGGCCTCGAACGTCAGAAGAGAAGTCACCCAATCAAACAGCCTGCGCTGGCTTCACTAGAAACAAGACAGTGTCGAATCTAGGGTGCATTGGGGATTCGAAACCCAGAAGGATGGGAACAAGCTTCAAGGAGGATTGTTGTACCTCAACAGAACTTGCATGTAGGATGTGGGTGCTGCTCTTAAGACATCCTGGAAGGCCACCCGAAGCCGATACTCCGGCAAGTGCGAAGGAGACTGGAATCTCAAACCTGAGCCTCACAGAGGCTCTTGCTACAAGTACTCAAAATGTGTACAACACAAAATTGCGTGGACTCTGCCTGATCCATGCCATCCTCTTCAAGCTTCGGGAAGCCTTTGACCTCGAGAAGCCCAGCGCACGCGTTATTCGCAGCAGTGGGGCAGATCCTTCTTCCGGGGCCGAGCCGGCCTTGTCTTGCCGAGCGTTGCTGACGTCCACCCAGCGCCATTTATTGATCTGGCGGACTTCACTGTTCCGACACCCCCCGGTCTCGAACAACCACTCTGGACCTTGCCGTCAGACTCCTTGGTCTCGAAGTCCGTTTCCAGAAAACCAATGTCCTTCAGAAACAGGCGAGACTGCCACATTTTTTCTCGCATGTGCCCTCGGATGTCCTTGAAGAGTGGCAAAGCATTGTCCAGGATCTGCACCCCACAGTAGTGGGTGATGTAGACGCATGGCAAGCCTGGCACCGAGACCAAGGTTGTTCTCTGCTTGAGGATCTCAGAACAGGGGAGCCTGGGAAGGAGTTCGACTCCAAATTCTCGGCCACGCAACAGTAGGCCTCTTGCATGAAGCCTCAGCAAGGTATGGCATGCTGCTCGGTCATGCTCTCCGTCTGCACTCCCTGGATCCTTTTTGACCAAAAAAGCAGAATTTACACGACGCAGCTTGGGTGCGCAAATGGCGCAGCACATCGATCTCGCAGCCCGGGACGTTCTCGAGCAGCTCCTCCTTGACTCCTGGAAGCCGGGAAGCCAAGCCAGAAGCTGAGGCCTTCCGACTGCTGGAGCCGATTAATCTCCCTCAATCTCCTTTTCAGCCGCCGACTTCAGAGAGCGAAGCCGGGGAAAAGACGGTGCGAAAGGTCGTGCCACATCTAAAGCATTTCGAGTTCAGGGTTTAGGGGGTCGTGGGATTCCTCAATGTCCCTTTCTCCCGTGATCCTCGCAGCGCTGAGTGTTCAATGTCGACGTCCTCCGGGCTTTTCTTCTCGGCCATGAGCATGTTCCTGCCAATAGAAGGATACTTGCACCCAAAGCACCCGGCCCGGTGATCTTCTTGTTTTGGTTCGGGATGTGTGCTTTTTGCATCTTTTTGCCTCTGGCGTGGTCTGCCATCACTGAGGATCTGCTCCGTCTCAACCAAAACCTGGCCACGGCGGTGCCCCTTCGTGCACACGGCAACCAGAAGCAAGATGGCCTTGTCCCCCCATCTCAGTTGGATGAAAACCGGCTCGACGACGCGGCGGATCTGTGACTGGCTGTCATTCCATTCCTGTGCAAGCTGCAGGCAAAGGCTGTGGCGATAAGACCATGAATAAGCACAGCTGTGCAGGCATGGAGCCAGAACTGTCTCGCCCTTCACCACTTCCTGGTGGAGTGAGGATCAAGCGAAGGCAATCCAGACGGCAGCGTTGTGATCAATCGCATGAAGAGCTTTTCTCGCATGAAAATCCCAGACGTCCGCTTGAGCCCGTTTCTTTTCCCTGCCTTGAGGAGCGCGGCAATAGTTTTGGCCTTGCCCGTGCCATAGGCTGTCGGGTCGATCCCTGCGCGGCGCCTGAAAAGAGAAGCAATGGCTGCACACTGAAAGCTCCCCTACCGTTCGAGTCAGGGCGAGAGCTTATGCAAGCAGGCTAAAAAGTGCATCAAAGTGGCAGGTACGATGCCAGAGCTGCATCGTCCGGGATGTCGCCCACTGTCAGGGCCTCGCATGGAGGAGACGTCTCCGCGATCAGGCTGGCAAACGAACCATATGCAATGTGCACAGAACACATGGGTCGGCGATCTTTCATCAAACAAACAATGATGGAGCTCCATGGCTGTTTTAATCAGTCTGTGTCATGCTACGATTCTTATCAGTATTTGGTTTACCGTTCTTGAAAGCAGCTTTGATACAATAGGATCGTTGATGCTTCTATCGTTGAGCTGCCAGCGTTGCTCAGATAGGAAGACGACGCCCGCATGTCGGGTACTGCCAATATTCGGTTCGTCATAATCCTAGGGTCACCCATACTCCGATATGGTCACTGTTGCTGATGTGGCTTTGCATAGCCCTAGAAGCCGACCGTCACTTTGGAATCAAAACGATTGCAAACTTCTTCGACGATCGATCTACTCGTACAATCAACAAGGCTAGCAATCACGAATGTGAAATTCAGTTGTTATTGCTAGCGCGATAGCTGGGAATGATCCTGGCGCGACTGCGATCTCTACAACTGCAGCCCTGTGCATCCATTCACGTGTGCTTCTCCGTCTGCAGTGTTTCGTTCATGCGACAACACACACGAAATAGGTAGGTCACCAGTAGGCGAAGGTAGCACTGTATTCATACACATTTACATGTATTCTTGTACCTTACTGCTATGATTAGTAGTAACATGTTTAGTACTGTCATTATTTTTATACTTTTACAGGTCTGTATATTATTTTTGTGTCTTAGGCAAGGTATACTTGTGTATGCACACAAATCTTCGGGGGGAATGTAAGTATGCATGCATGCATGCATGCATGCATGTATTTATGTAGTGTGGGATATATTTGTATGCATGTTTATAAGCGGTGTGGGGTATGCATGTATGTATGTATGTATGTATGTATGTATGTATGTAGGGTGATGCCTTTTTCAGGCGCCATGGTTCACTATACCCTTAAACAACGGTCCCTGCACATGTGAGTGAGAATTCCTGCGCACACACGCATCTCTTTGATCAATCGCGCGCCTGTATTCTCGAACCATGGCGCAATGAAAACGCAAGAATTTTATGAAAAAGACAGCTCCTTGTGTACGTATGTACGTATGTATGTACGTATGTATGTATCGGGGCGTACTTGTGGGGGGTGGTGGAAATAATCTACATTCTTGGGCTCCCCCCCTAAGCGAACCCTATTTGTAGAAAAGCTCTCTTTTGGCATGGTCAACTCGGAGGCACATGAAACACGCTCACTCACTCACTCACTCACTCACTCACTCACTCACTCACTCACTCACTCACTCACTCAAACACACATTCACTCGTAAGCAAAAGCTGGCGTTCGCAGACCCTTCCTTTTGTTCGGCACGCAAACGCCTTGGATCCAGTAGCTGGATGCCTCACGACCGCCCGGAGTTCTGCGGATTTCTGCTGTGCGAATCTGTGCGACTGTGCATGCTGTCTGTCTGTGTGTCCGTGTGCTTTCAGCTCATCAGAACACGGGCAGCCATGGGGCACGGTGCAAGTTCACCTGGGGCGCGAAATGCTTGAGGCGCTCCAGTGCCCCATCCTTTGAAGGATGGAGCGATGCCATATAGATCGGGATCCACTTCGCCCGCGCCACTGGGGTAGATTCTTCGCGATCAAGCCCTCCACGAAGCCACCTGCGATGCGTTGGACGGCGGGACAACTTTCTCCTTCCAAGGCCCAGCATCGAGGTACATCTGCATGTGCTGGGTGTTGAAAAGGTGACGGTGAGTCTGTCGGCATTCTGCTGCACATTCGAAGCTTTGGTTTGCCCACAAGCGGAGGTGGGGTCAATCATGTGGACTGGATTCAGAAGCGTGCCGATCCAGGTGCGTTGCAATGACTGCACAAACTCCAACATTAGTCCAGCTGGAATCGGACGTGCACTGGGTCGCGAAACCTTGAGCGTGCGAGTTGCCGTTCCCGATATCGGAGCCCCTCGGTACACGCTCAAGCAGTATCCCAATGCCAATGTTCCATCCTCGCGAACGAAAAGGAGGATCTGCGGGCTTGAATGCGAGCCAAAATGCGTCACAGGCCCGCAAGCTGCAGCAGTGGAATGGACAGGCTTATCCAGGAGTTGCTGCTGCTGCGATCTCCAACCCTCCAGGCGAGACATGCGTTGGCCGCCGCCCAGCTGGGAGAACTGTGCCCGGCTCAAGGTTTTCTCATCCAGCCGCTCATGCTCGCAGAACTGTTGCCAAAGGCTCTCGCATTTCGTTCATGCCAGCCAGCAGGCACTGCAGGTTTGTCTCCGAGATGGGGACTTCTTGGCAGCTGGGCAGCTCGCGAAGCTGCTGCACCAAGCGACACACATCCAGAAGGTTGTCAGCTGGCCAGGTTGGCTCTTCGGCAGCATTCTCCGCAGAATCTTCCGTTGTGGCCTTTGTCTGAGCCTGGGCTTTGCCTGAGTCCGCACCAGCTTCAGTTGTGGCTTTTGTCTGCAGCTGCGATTCGCCGTCATCGCCTTCTGGGCTCAGATCTTTCCACATGGAAGCAATGTGCTGCTTGACCTTCAAATGGTCCTCGCAAGCTTCAAGCTGCTTGCCTGCTTCAGCTTCGGCTTCGTTCTCCTCCTCGTCCGCCAGTACCTCCACCCCCGGCATCGGCACCGTCCGGATCCCCCACCTTTGCATCATCAACATTCCAGCCTTCCTGCTTTCGGTACGTCAACAAAGCTTTTCCTTCAATGTTGAACCCATGCACTAAGTCACCTTGGACGTTCGCTGCGGAACGGCCTGCTCTGATGGATGCCTGCATCCAGAGCATCTCGGGCGAGGTCTTCAGGCTCATCCAGGGACTCTCCGACAGACAAGGTCGGGAAGACGAAGCGGTCGGCTTCTCGGAAGGTTTTCAAGTTTGCCAGGTACTCGCCGAGTAGAGCGTCTTTTCGGCTTGGCGTCCCACGGTAGTGGGATTTGACTTTGGAAACATGAACCTCGCAGCATCTCTCTTGCCGGGACTCAAGCCTCCGGGGGCCGTGCAGGCAGTGAAGGATGCTGCGCCAGATTCCTCATTCAAACATATGCACAGCTGGCAACGATTGGCAATTGCTCCACGACCGGACTTCAGGGTGGAATTCGGAGCGGTCCATGTAACTCAGCAAGCATCGGCAAGTTAGACGACCGTCCCCCGCCCCCGCCACTTCCCAATATCCCACAAATTCCCACAGTAATCACATCAGGTGCAGCCAAAGTTCAGATCGGTTGGCCCTTGCGGGGGCCACTCCTCCTTTCCCCGGTTTTCTGCAGCCGCCACATGGCTGGGATGAACTTCTGGGAATGGACTGTTCAATGCTTCTGTGTTTTCATCGTCTCAAAGTATCGGAGGCCAAGGCTGCGGCTTGGGAAGCCAGATTTGGCATGCACATCGCTCTCGAAAATGCCAAGTGGCTTCAGCACAGTTCACTCGCCCTCCGGCACATGACAGCTTCTTCACATATCTTCACATGACATCACACGACCCCCCAGAGCAAAGCAAGTGTCCACCCGAGCACGGAAAAGTAGAAAAGCATTTCTACATTTAACCACCCCCCCCCCATCCTGCATTTAACAAGCCCGGGTGATATGTATGCATGTATGTATGTGCACACCTGCTCCTGTGTCCATATATACTGGTACAGCCTGCATACCGTAGTTCCAACCACGGCAGAAGACGTGACATGCATGCATGCACACTGATGCACGTACACATGCAGGTATTCAAGTACATAGCACAGCCTGCGGTTAAATGCAATCCAAATGCCATTTGCATGTATGCCTGTCTGTATGTATGTGCTATGCACATACGTACGTATGCATGTATGTATCTATGCTGCAAGCACGTCTTCTTGAGTGCTTTGAATTCCGGCATGAATTTCACACAGACAGACAGACGGACAGACAGACAGACACAGACAGACACAGACAGACAGGCAGACAGACAGACAGACAGAGATACATACATACATACATACATACGTACATACGTACGTGCGTACGTACATACATACATACATGCAGCCATACATGCATGCATACATACATACATGCATACACACGTATATATATAATATATATATATATATGTATGTATACGTGTGCATGCATGCATGTATGCATGTATGTATGGTTTTAGGCATTCATGTATGTGTGTGCATGTATGTTTCTATGTATGTGTGCATGTAGCATGCATGCATGCATGCATGGATGGATGGATCATGTAGTTTTTTACATGCATTTCGATTTGCCCGATTTCCTAGGGCTTCCGGTACGTAGCGGTTGCACTACCTCAGAGGATTACGGGCTTCTTACCCGACAAGGACCTGTGTCAATATGCATGCATGTCTGCATGCATGCATGTCTGAAAATCCGCATGTCTGCATCTCTGTTGGTATGTACTCTGTATGTACGTATGTCCTTATACCCTAAGCCCTATACCCTCTACCCTAGACCCTACACCCGACACCCTATGTAGCCCCTGGCGCAAAGGAGCCTCGGGCTGGCCGTAAAACGTAAAACATACACTACGGAGTACACTCACTCCAAGCAAGGAGAGCTTCTCCCTAACAGTCCGTGTACCAAAATAGTATATACTTTGGCCAAAAGTAGTCCCTATTTGGGTGCTTTGGGGCCAAAGTATCTACTTTTTAACAAGACACGTTTGCTTACTTTCCCCAATGAGCCAGAAAAATATTAGTTTACTATGAGCGACTATGTAATTCCACAACTTACTTCCCCAATAAGCCAGAAAACAAAACACACAAAAGGTTCAACTTTCAGAGTACTACTACATGATGAGAACCCCAAATGTTTAAAGGTTAGGTATTGGGGAACAAAGTTTGTTTGGGGTTTAGGGTACACTTTTCCAATTGCATGAAGTATATACATTGGTTGCTGGAAGCCCACTTTGGGAGTAGGGAGGGTTTACTTACTTCCCCTAGAAGCCACGAAATAAAAGGTTAAACTTTCAGATTACTATTGAAATTATAAGAGCTCAAAAAGTTTAAAGGTTGGTTATTGGAGAACCAAGTTTAGGGCTTAGGGTTTCGGCCTCGACTTTCGACACAGCACTGGAAG